TTAGTCCAAGCTCATCTAAGATGGACTGATACAAAGTGAAAAGTGTTCTGTTATGTTTTCTCGATGTCAGCCTCTTCTTCAATTTGTCCGTGGTAAATGCAATGCAGGAGGTTTTCTTTCCATGACAGTCCATCTGGCTCCTTCTCCTACCTGGGCTTTTGTTGCCCTAAGCATTCACTAAGCATGTCATCGCTGGAGTCCATCATGCATTCTTGGAAACCCGTAGTTCCTCCTGAAAAGTGCTCATTATACTCACTAGTCCAGCATTGTAAGGAGCTTTCTTGTCTTGGTATCAGTGGCTTGTATCTCTTCCAGTGGACAGGCTATTATGCCAGCGGGGTATTTGATTACTGGCAGGGCGTAGGTGTTAATGGCCTAGATCTTCATCTTGCTGTTTAGCTGACAATGCAGGATCTGCCTCACCCATCTATTAGCCAATCCGCTTATTCTCGCGAGGGTCACGGGCGTGCTGGAGCCTATCTCCGTTGTCATCAAATAGTAAGCGGGGTACACCCTAAATTGGTTGCCAGCCAATTGCAGGTCAGAAATAGACAAACAACCATTCACACTCACAGTCACACCAAAGGAGGAAACTAGAGGACCTGGCGAAAACCCACTCTGGCCATTGTGATTTTAAAGGAATGTTGGAAGAAATTGTCATTCAAAAATGCAAAAACTGGTCGAGAGTAAGGATAAGAAAATTGTCGCATATATATCAGTTTCTGGGCGGCCCGGTAGTCGAGTGGTTCGCACGTTGACTTCACAGTGCAAAGATACTGGGTTCAATTCCAGCTCCGGCCTTTCTGTGTGGAGTTTGCATGTTCTCCCCGTGCTTGCATGGGTATTCTCCGGGCCCTCCGGTTTCCTCCCACATTCCAAAAACATGCATGGCAGGCTGATTGAACACTCAAAATTGTCCCTAGGTGTGAGTGTGGGCGCGAATGGTTGTTCGTTTCCGTGTGCCCTGCGACTGGCTGGCAACCGATTCAGGGTGTCCCCCCCACCTACTGCCCGAAAACAGCAGGGATAGGCCCCAGCACCCCCGCGACCCGAGTGAGGATCAAGCGGTTCGGAAAATGAATGAATGAATATCAGTTTCTTAATTAATTTGAGATATCAATAACATGATCACTGTCTGAAAATATCACACATAGTAACATTATATAAGGTAATTTAAACAGATGTGTTTTTTCAGGCGTGTATCAAATTGGGAGCCCTTTGCAGTAATCAGTGCCCAAGGAGTAGCTCTCACTTTCAAAATGGTCGGTGACCCATGAACTACAGATACGTAATATGTCTAGCATGTATGAAGACAAGCACTATATTTGTCTTCTATATAAGATAGAAGAAACTACAATGTAATTACTGTTTGACTGATATCATTCTTGCATGTGTACAAACCATTCAATTATTAATGAAGGCTTGGCAGGTTATCAATGATTTAAGTCATCCTGCTGATTCACGATCTTAGGAATATGGAATTTAATACAGTTAGACATTTAACTGATGGTGGAAGTGAACGAACCATCAAGGTCAGAAAATTGAAGTGTTTTTTTTTTACTCACTTTTCACATGATATTGCAACATTCTGGATGAGTTCTGCACATTGTACATATGTAATTAATTTCCGACAGTGCTTATAAAATAAATATGTTTGCTTCTTTTAGAAACAAGGTCCAAGGAGTTACATGTAGACACATTGTAGAAAAACAATAGAATTCCATCCTTTACAAGGTCATCCTGTGAGCAAATCTTATATCATAAAAGCATGCTTATTGTAATTAGTTTTTTTCTGCTTTGTAGATAAAGGATTCATAGCTACATTTCAGCCTTAATTTGGTACTATAATTGCTTCAGAGTGGTATAAATTCCAGTTGTGTTCAGCTAATTTAAATGCATAATAACAAGTTGAACCCCTGTGGTGAAACACAGTAGCAACAGCTTCCCTGAGATTTGCTTCAGTTGATATCCGGGAAGCAATTATTAATGACAATTAGTAACCAGCAAAATGGTGAAATTATTTGTATTTGTTTTCTATCTTGGTGTTTTTGTGTTTGTTTTACAACTTATTGAATGTATTCAAGAAATGCAGTATATATAAAGAATATGAGACATTTGATATAAAAAGTAGAAAGAACAATTATATATATACAAACCGAAAGGTTTATAAATAGATAAGTACAGTACACATAAGGGTAAAAGTATTTGATGATATGTAGATTTCTTCCTTTTCTTTGGTATTGAAAAATGATCAATACACATTATTGCACAACAAGGGGTAGGACTAGATAAGTTGTATACTTCTCCCTACTCCTTTGAGCATATAACTGTGATGATGTTTGTATTACTTACTTTTATTTTTCCTTTTATAATTTTTGTTTGCATTTTGTCAATCTGTTATTGTATGTTCTATATATGTTCAATAAATCAATAAACAAACAAACAAACAAATATTGTTGCTTTTGATGCTTTGCACACCACTGCCACAGGTGGCAGTACATGTGTTCCCTGGTCTTCATCAGCACAGGTCACGTCGACTATAGGTATGACAGACCCGTGGGAGGGAATAGCATAACATTTTGCTGTTATTTTCAGCATGGAATGTTGAACAAATGTTGTGTTCTGCAGGTGCTTGATCCCTTTCAGTGAACCATTTTGGATTTGGAAAACATCTCTCACTTGTCAGTGAGATTCCGCTGTGTCGCTTCACTGAAGCCCTTTTAGCTTGTAGATTTACTTCAATTATACTGCAGAACAGGTGTTTGCCTGTGGCATAATGAGTGATGGGAATAAACATTTGTCATTTTAAAAACCTAATCATCATGATTTTGCACCATTTGTGTGGGGCGGACTGAGCTGATTATTGTTTTTCCAAGCCAGAAACATTCCTGCCCGTAATTGATATTACTGAGACCATTAAAATCCACCAATATTGACAGTATGCACTAATTTCAGACTCAGGAGCATTCACTACTTGTCAAAGAAAATAAACTATATATTTATTGTCAATTAAAAGACACTCAATTGGACATTTTTCTATGGACAACTTTGTGACGGATGAGCTCCTATGTTAGGTGTAATTCACTGCCCGTAACCCCGTAAATACCCCAGAAACATTTTGCCATTCTATGAGAACACCCACACTCTTACAGGTTGATGATTCTCCAAAAGTTGACTGTAACTTTTCATCCTTAAATTTTGTTCTTTAGTTTGAATATTTAATAATAAGGCATTGTCTTTTTCTGACCCAAATGAAGCTAATAATGAACTGAGTATTGATTAAATGAATATTGATATGTTAAACAATAAGCTCCTCCGTGACAGATTTCCTCAACTTCTCCATGCCTTAAAAATAAATAAGTAAACAAGAATTAAAATAAAGAAAAAAAAACTGTTTTTGTTTGATGGAAAACATAACCTCCATCCATCCACTATTTGAACCGTTTTACCTTCACGAGGGTCGCAGGCATGTTAGAGCCAATCCCAGCTGTCTGGGTACACTATGCTGGGTCGGCAGGTTACTCTGAACTGGTTGCCAGCCAATCGCAGGGTGCACATTAACAAACAACCATTAGCACTCACAGGCACACCGTTGGACAATTAAGAAAGATCATGCATGTTTTTGGAATGTAGGAGGAAACCGCAGTATCTGGAGAAAACCCACCCAGGTACGGGGAGAGCATGCAAACTCCACACAGGAAGGCTCGGTGCCGGAATTGAACCCATGATCTCTGCACTGTGAGGCGGATGTGCTATTCAGTCAACGTCGTGCCACTATAGAGCATAACATTTATCCCCCCCACCACCCCTCCAAAAGACAAAAAAAACATAATCAAGGTCCTTTGAATACGTCCCCTTTAAACAGGAATTTAAACTTTTAATGTCAACACAAAGCAAATATTCAGACACACTGGATGCCGTTTCCTTTCATTTCATCAATCATTTGAGCTTAATTAAAACACTTGATCTGACACATGGCTGTTGTTATTAGGGCTCGGCTGTGCCTCAGGTTATTCATCTTACAAATAAATAATTAAATATTTTCACATACCCCCTGCTAGGTGCTAATGTACCCATTGGGATATGCAAACCCCTGGTTGGAAAAACACTGGCCGATATCATACACGTTCGTAACAACTCATTGACCTGGAATTGCAAAGTAAATCTGGGTAATGGTGACGCTGATGGTGTAGTGGTACACTCGCCTGACTTGTGTGCGGGCAGTGTGGGATTGGTTCCCGCTCAATGACAGTGTGGATGTGGGTGTGAATGGTTGTTCATCTCTGTGTGCCCTGCAACTAGCTGGTGAGCAGTTCGGGATGTTGTCCACCTTTTGCCCTAAATCGGCTGGGATACGCTCCAACAAATAATGACTTAGCTGTTACAGAGCGGGCTACAACAATGCAAAAGATATGGACACGCTGCATGCAGATACACATGCACGGCCACCCCAGCCTATTCCTCAGTGAGGTGTTTTGTCAACCTGGCCACCACACTGTGCCCCTAAATTTCCGACTTGTATTGCTAATATTCTGCGTTAGGGGCAGTAGTGCTCCTAAAAAAAAAAAAAAAGTGTTGCCTCGAGCCATGAGAAATGTTCACATTGTTTGTCTTTCATTGCTTGCCGTAGGGCAGAGAGCTCCGTTGCTAAGCAACCTACGAAAACTAATACAGTGCCAGGAACGTATTATTGGTAAAAACTCCTCGCAAAAAATAATTAAAGGAAATACATTTTCCTGCGTAAACTCTACCACACAGGTATTTGAAATATTTAAAGTTTGATTAACTTACTAGTTAGACGTAACATTTACGTTCTAATTCGCTAGCGACGCAATGTCTTTTGACAATAACATTCAATAAAATCAAAATGTGCCATTTTTGAAATGTTGATTAATGAACGAAAGAATAAAGAGCTGATCTATCGTAAACAATAAGCAACGAAAGAATAAAGAGCTGATCTATCGTAAAAAATTAAAGAAGTGACGCGTGCTGGTGTCTTTCAAGTCCGGAAATGAGCCATGAAAAGTCGTTGTTTCAGTTTCAAAAGCGTTATTATATGTTACTTGGTTTTTGGAAAAAAAAGTCACCAATAGTGTTTTGGGAGAACAGAGAAAATAATTGTGAATCAATTTATTTCAGTTGTTACACTGCATGCTCTGCCAATAGACGCAACAATGGATCTGGATGTCCTTCAGTATTTGGCCAAGGCCAGGAAAAAACAAGGTTTGTGTTCCTGCATGCTCAGATACTGTTAAAATACATTATGGAAGTTGTATTGCACCGATTTTCTTCGTATACAGACCCCGCAGCTTTGCAATCAGCCTTCAATGAATTGGAAGAGATGACAGAAGCTGACTCAGGAGGACCACTCAGCTTTGACCAACATATGTACATCTCCTGCGCAGAAGTAGCTCTGGCGGTAGGGGACAATTATTGTGTCAATGAACAGAGGTGTCAAATCCAGGTCCAGAAAGTGAAAACACTGCCAAAGTTTGGTTTTAGCCATGGGTGCCATATACTCACCCGGCAGGTAAACTAGCATCTGAGGAGCTTTTACTTCTTGGATCTGTATTTGACACTTCAACAATTGATATAATAATATAGACCAGCAACACAGGAGTTTAACCTGAACATGTATTTGACAGTTCTGTGTGCAATTCAAATGACAAAATGATAAACATGTAGAAATGATCCTTCTCTTTGGATTGTGTTTTAGCTGGGTTGTTTAGAGATAACTGCAGCCTGTCTGAAGAGGTTCTTTGATGGCAATCCACCAGCTGACCAATATTTGTGTCGAGCCTTCCTCTGTCAGAGCCAACTAAAGGTTCCCCCACCCACAGGGAGCATGGTGAGTACAGGAAAGACACAGCTTCTTGGTGGACTTACTTACACTAGGTATGCACTCAGTATGTTGTACAGTTTTTATGGTACAATGTAAGTGGGTATGTCGCTGTCTATGCAATCAAAGAATGGCAATTAAGGAAATTACTTTTGAATCATTGTACAGTATGTTTGAGGTGATGATTTCTCAACGGCATTGTGGGTTTTTTTTTTTTTTGTTTTAGGGAGACTTTAAAGAAAATGTGCAGTATTTTCTGAAAGCAATTGACATTTCAAAGCGAGAGAAAAGGTAAGTAATCCTTCCATACCCTTGATTGTTGCCATATACTGGTGAACCCATATACATAAACAGTAAGACATAATATGCACACACAATATAATATATCTTCTGTAGAACGTGTACAACAGACTGTGTGTAGTTAGTCTGATTTTCCATTACATTAATGTTTGAATGGCAAACAATGAATAATTAAATGATATCTACTTACTTACCATGACCTCTTATTCACGCTTGGCTCATCTGTACTGTGTTGGTTTAATTCAAACACCTTTTTGGCAGTCATTGATATATAAGTGTATAAATCCCCTAGTGTTTCTCTGTAAAAGATGTTTGGACATGCTTCTTGGCTAAGAAATGCAGAATGTGTCAAGAAAAGGGTCAAATGAGCAAACCCCAATTAGCACCTAAGGGAATATGTATGTTAAATCTTGCCCAGACAAGTACACAACATGCTCTCCGGTGGATAAATTAGTCCCGCTAAAGTAGTTTATTTATAATTAATATACATTTACTTTTTACGGAGCACATTACTTCTCTACTGTGGCTCATTAAACAAACAGTTCAAAATTCCACTGTTTTGCATTTCGCATTACTTGGGCTGTCAGATTCTAATTCTGGAGTTGAGCAAAGACAAGACATTCCTTACTTGTGAATATATTTATATATATTTCGGCACCATTTCAATGAATGTTGTTTTTCTTTGTTGTGCTTGTGGTTTGTTTCTGGCAGATCGCACTACATTGTGTTCAATGCCTCAGTACTGTATCTTCAGATGGTGCGTCCTCTCCTGCAGCCAGGGCGGTGTTGCCAGCTCATATCCTCCCTCAGGCAGGTGGTCAAAAGTCTGGAATTGGTGGCAGACAAGGACCACAGCTGGAGGGCTGAACTCATGATGCAAGTGGTACCCCGTTATTTTCTTTTGCTCATTCTGCATTCACGGGGATGGTATACAGAGCTAATTAAGCAGCATTTCACGTGCCCCAACAGCTTTGCTGCTCCCCAATTAATTGGCTTGCTTCTCATCTAATAGAGGAAGTGCGCTGATGTAAGCTGTCTCATGTTCATGAAAACACCTCAGGTTGAAATGCTAATTTAGTTTTTTGGTCACCAGACACAATATGCAATGTGTGTACAGTGCGGTGGGATGTGAGTGAGTTTTAATTGGATTCACAGTTCCTGACAGGATAGATAGTGTAGATGACCTATTTGTATCTCAGTCCACAATCAGTTATATAATATGACTGAATTTCATATTCATCTTAAATTATGATGCAAAACAATCCAACTGCAGCGTGAAGAGAAAACTGACGAAAGATCAGCAATACGTTATGTAATTTGGTAATCACATATCAATACACTGTGCTTTGGACTTCAAACAATGTGGAAACACTTTTTTTAAAGAATGTCCGCCACTGTCTGCTTCGGTTCAGGCACCTAATTGACTCTCTTTTGGACGCTGGGAAAACTGATGACGCTGCAAGTTATGCCAGAGTTACAGAGGAATTCATCAGAAAACACTGCCCACATCTTTATTCAAACGTCTTTCGTTTACAGGTATGCGATGCAATGTCTTCACAAGGAAAATGTCAACAGGATGGAAGATTGGGCGGCACGATGATCCACTGGTTAGCATGTCTGCCTCACAGTGCAGAGGTGCAGGGTTCGAGTCCAAGCCCTTCCTGTGTGGGGTTTGCATGTTCACTCCATGCCTTTGTTTTTTTTTTCCTTCGGGTACTTTTCCTCCCACATTCCAAAAACATACATGGCAGGTTAACGGAACACTCTAAATTGTCCCTAGGTGTGATTGTGAGCGTGAATGGTTGTTTGTCTCTTTGTGCCCTGTGATAGGCCAGAATCGAATCCTGCACCACTGCACTGCGGACATGCTAACCAGTCGACCTGCGTGCTCAGGAAGCTTCTGATCCATTCGCAGGTGGGGGATGGATCGTATTATTGTTATTATTATTATTATTACTATTACTACTACTGTACTACTACTACTATTTTCTTTTTTTCATTATTATTTTTCATTCATTAACACAGGTACACAATTCAGTTCACTTCTGTACAGCAATATATTGGCCAATATTAACATGTGGTTGAATTCATATTTAGCTCTGCTAGACATCCATTGATGTATACAGTACTCAATTTTTTTCTTCTTGCATTGCAATCTAATTCATAGTAGCAATTCCCAGAAGTCAATGTCGATTGTAACCACAGCCCTCTCACCATAGGTGTGGCATAACCTGTCAAAAAGGGAAATCCTCCTGAAAAAAAGCCGTCAGTCTACTACCTTAACGGTCATTTACAAAATGCTGCAATTTAAAAGGTAAGGAACTTTGATACACAGAATAATAAGTGCCACTATTTGGAATACATTTCTTTCTTGCTTGTGAATTGTGGCACTCAAAATGGTGACTTCACATTTTAATTCACATTTTGTTGTCAATCAAAGTTATGCTTTTTCCGACTGATGACATAAGATCTAAATTTACAATATTAACCGGTTTTGATGCTGATGTATTTCAGGATTAAGATTTGTGCAATCTTTCGCCATAAGCAGTTTATTTCTTTAACACGCAAATGAAGTGAACATCCACTGGATTTATTTACTCAAAGAAATCTCCTCATTTTTAGGGGGTTGGCAGAAATAAATGAAGATGAACTTGCAAAAAAGGATTTCAATGAGCTTGAGGAGATTTTTAGTCTCCTGGGAGACTCCACAAAAGCTTCTCTCCGGATACCCGTCCCGCCAGCTCACAGGTACATCATCTTAAGTGCCCGGATGAAATCCCATCATGAATATGAACTTTGGAGCAAAAATTGAGGCAGTGGTGGTCCTATTCTGATTTAACAAGGAACCGGACTCGTAACCGGAATCGTTCAAATTCAAACGATGCTCAACCCTTTTGTACTTGTTTATTTGTACCCATGGCAGTGACCCCTACATTTTCAACAAATTACTATTCTGTAATGCTATAAATAATAATAACGTTTACTATGCCGATTGGTAGCATGAATGCTTGTAGTTCACACACGCAGTGCAGCAGTAAAAAGGTCGAGGTAAATTATGATTTTGTTGTAATTTGAATTGCATATTGCATATGAGATTTTGTCCTTGATTTCAGAGTGTCCTTCCTCCTGGAGCTCGCTCTGCTGTCCTTACAAGGGAAGAATCACAAAGTGGCTTCGAAATGTTTAAAAAGGTTAAAGTCAACAGGGGAGATTGTAAGTGTCCAATCTTGTCCTAAAATCTTGAAGCAGTAGGAAGGCTCCGTACTATACATAACAGCCCGGCGTTGAAAAGACACATATCCATACGTACAGTTTATTACTTTGTAATTTTAAAAAAATATATATTCTTAGCAAAATGTCACTTATGTGCATTTTTGAAGGGAAATTGATGACGAGAAAAGTTAAATGATGCCATAATACCCATATCTCATGCATGAATAATCACTTGGATTTCAAATGAAGCTAATCTTTTTCTTAGTACATCTAACACTAACTCTTGAATTGCTATTTCCTTTTAGAGTATCGGTGAACAAATAATAATGGAGTGTGTCAACTGTGAAATAAACCTCCGGAAGAAAGAGACAAAGACGAATGATTATTCCAAATCCAGTGTGGAGGTGCTCCATCATCAGATACATCTCTGAACATATTAATCAAGCAGCAATTTTACTAGTTTGATAAGCAGTTGAAAAAGTTTCACTTTATTTTTCATCAGCTATTGTGCTTAAATCTGAGTTGAATTGATGGCTGTACTTTAAGTAAATGTTGGAATTGGTACTGAAATTGAGTTTTATGTTTGTTGTTAATGTCTTCATGATTCCATATACGTACTTATATGCCATACTCAGATCGCACTAGAATTCTGAGATCATAAACCCATTTTTTTTTCAAAATAGCGCACTCAGTGATGGAAGAGTTGTCATTCCTAATTGATTCAGAAGATTTTGTTTTCTGCCCCCTAGGCCCGTCTAAAAGCAATCGGAAAGCTAAATCACTGTCTGCAGACTGCACTCAGAGAAGGGGACCCTCAAGCCGTGCAAGCGGTGTGTGCGACCCAGTGGAGCTTTTGTCTTCCGCTTTTGCAGCATAATCTCCGCAGACACGTCAAGACACCTCTGTCGCGGGTGGCCCAAGCACTCGAAGACATGCAATGGTAAACCAGTTTGATTGATTTTATCTATAATGTGCACATATTTTAGGGCTTCACCCTTCAGTTGCGGTATCATAACCTGATTTGTTGCTGTCTATATTCCCTACACGATAATCTCATTTTATGTGTTGATCTGTTCTATATGGTTCTAATATAAATGAATAAAAGTATACCTTGTTTGTCAGTCGAGAACGCAGGCATTAGTTTCTATTCTAAGATTTACAATTTCATTTTTCCAGCATGCTGTTCCCAGTTCGATGTCAGGTCCATGCCGAGCTTGCAGTGACTGAAGAGGAAGACGGGCTCCTAGAGGCTTCAATGGCTCACCTCCAGAAAGCCATGTTGCTGGATAATGGCACACAGAAAGAAAGATTGTCGTCAGCTTTCCATCTCCTACAGCTCAGAAGAAACCTTTATCAAACGCCCTCTCGGAGCGAGGATAAAGCCGCGATGCTTATGCAGCAGGTTTACAGCACTTTGTGTCACACATTGAACAGTTTTGGAAGCTGCACAAAGTGGAATTTTGGAAGGAAAGGGTACTCATCACATTTATGAAGATGGGATGGAGGAGGATCCAATAAAATCTATACATCACTTGATAAATCTCCAACTTTAATAAGACAGTTTAACTGGTGTTGCTTTAGACAAATCATTTTAAAGCGTGTAAGTCGTTTAGTGGCATTCCGATTATATCCACAACTGAGGTCACTATTTGTACCCTTTATGAAAACCATTGCAGTAGTACTGGTAATGTCGTGGTACTTGCTGCTTCCTTTCGTGCAGACGACATGGGTTTGATTGGAGGCCAGTGCCCCAATACCCAGCCGTTGTTGGCCCTAACCCTGGATAAAAAAAAAAAATGGCTGGTTTGTGGAAGGAAAAATATTTGATGTAAAAATTGTGCCAAACAAATCATGCTAGTGACCCACTGTGGCAACCTTGAGCCAAAAGTTGAAAAAAACAATTCAAATGATTGCACTTATTTTTCGTCATTTACACAACCATAGTGTCTGTAGGTCATTACTTGATGATGATGATGATGATGATGATGCAACAGCGTTTTTGCTTTGCGATATCGCTAAAAACACAGGGAACACACAAACTCCGCACAAGAAAGCAAGAGCCGTAATCCAACATTGCACCTCTGAACTATGAGGCGGACGTGATAACCAGTCGCCCACCTTGCCGCGATGGAGAATTTACTATATGAAATTTAATCAGATATTTTTTCGGGGCCCAAAATATTTTGACATTAAATTTACAATACACAGTGATCACATGGCATAATATTTGGGTGTATATAGTCGTTAAGTGTACTGTACTTGGCAGTAAGCGCCCTTTTGTATTTTCAGGTCAAGGACAGGCAGCCCCAACAGAATACAGATTGCCGTCCTTTACTGCTAACTGTGGGTCAACTGTTGGCACCTGCTGATTTCCAGATGGTGCTGAATGCAGACAACATCTCGAAAAGTACAATTTCTTCCTCACATTCAGTTTTCACATCAATGTGAATTGATTTTCTTTCAACGCGCCTCATGCTTCATCTGTTTTTTCAGAAGTTGAAAAAAAAAAGACCTTTTCCTAAACATACTTGCATCCAGTATTCGGCACACTGGTATGGGAGCATCACATTTGTCCTTTATGTGAGGACGTTAATTCGGTGTGCGTTGAGCATTACATGCTAGAATAAATAAATGTCATCATACAATGACATTGTTTCACATTTACTGTGGTATCGCTGCATTCAAAACATGGAGATTTTCATGAAAAAGTCATTTAGTTACCAGCAACGATCATCGATAGCAAATAGAGTCAAGGATTAGCAACAGCGCACACATACTGTGTACTGTACACACTGTACCATTTTGAACCACTGCAGTCCCCGACCTCTCATCCTAATCCAATTACTACACTAAACGCCCCCGGAGCTGCTGAGACCACGGCATATCGAAATAAGATCTAAACAAGAAGCTGTCTTTTAAGTTGCGTTCTTATCGTCTTGCTTTGTAGCCATTGATGTGACTGAAGCGGGCATTGATTTTCACGCATTTCTTCCTCTTGCAGTGTGATTTCCGCTGTGTATAAACATGCATATTTAATTCATTTTAATTAAATGATTGGCAGTCACTAAAGTCTAAGTAACGGCAACAAAATCAATAGAATATTTTGTGCATTCCAAACCTCTACAATACTTTCCTAATCATTTATGAAAATACAACTTTACAACATAATTCCTTGTGTTTTGTTTGACTAGTTACCAAAGCCAATGTTGGGTGTGGACCGATAGCGCAGCTCTCTGCTGAGGCTCATAATTACTATGCAGCTGTGCAGAAGTTGGATGGATACCTGGATCGACAAGGAGAAAACACTGACAACACAGAGAGGTGTTTTTGTGTGTGTGTGTGTGTGTGTGTGTGTGTGTGTGTGTGTGTGTGTGTGTGTGTGTGTGTGCGCGCGTGTGCGTGCGTGTGTGTGTGTGTGTGTGTGTGTGTGCGCAAAGTGGTTCTGCCAATGTTTCATGTTAAACTGCACATATGAATACTATTGTAATTTGAGAAAACCGGATTTATTTAGCACTGTAAATAGCCATATTAACTAATGTTTACAATCTACAATGTAATGCGTACATGACCTCTTCTCGTGTCTAGATTGAGGCTTTGGGCCACCCTTGCAAAGACTGCAAGAAAACAGGAGGTCTGGGATGTGTGCAGAGTGGCTGGTCGATTCTGTTTGCTCTATGATGAAGCGAGATCAAAGATGTCCAGATGTCACAGTAAGATGCTCAATGAAGGGATCATCAAAAATCAATAAAAAGGCGTATTAATTGGGCAGAAGAAAGAAGAGATATATTTAATTATATTTGTTAACCGAGGACCAAAACAATTGAACCTATGTGTTACTTTTAAATATGATGTACACACGTAAACTACTCAGTTAATGCTTCTATGAGCTACTTAAGATAAGAAAACCTTTATTTGTCTCACAATGGAGAAATTCCCAATTTACAGCCGCAAAATTATGAAAGGGAGAAAGTCGAAGACAAAAAGTATATAAATAAATAAAATTTATAAAATACAGATATAAGCATATTAAAAATGGGATAGTCCATCCAGGTTTTCAGGACCGTCTATTCAATAGCCTGACAGCAGTTGGCAGGAACGAGCGGCGGTACCTCTCCCTCATGCAGCGCGGGTGTGTCAGTCTCTGGCTGAAGGAGCTGCCCAGTGCTGTCAAGGTGGCCTGGAGGGGGTTGGAGGGTCTGTCCATCATAGCTGTTAGCTTAGTTCGCATCCTCCTGTTACCCACCTCTTCCAGAGTGTCAAAACTTTCACACGTTGACAGTTTTTTATTTATCTATTGACCATGACATTTTGATGACAACAAGTTTATAGACTAATGCCTTGATTAAAAAATAGAAAAAAAAGTTGTATGATGTGCTTAACTGGTTTACTGCCCAATTTGTGTACAGAATCAAAATGCTCAGAGGATGAAAGCCCTCCCGAAAACTTTAACAGCTTTGAAGAATATCAACCCTGTGCGAAGAAGTTGCGCCTTTTAGCCGAAATATGCTTTATAACCGCTGAGGTATGTTTTGTCTTTCCTAAAAACAACATTAAGAGCCTATTTTTTAAAAATCCCGAACTCAGGGGTGCCCAACCTTTGACCGAAGAGCTACTTTTTTAAACAACCAACTTCCCGCGATCGAACCATTACCGCACGTTCACGCATACACGCACGCACATGCGCGAACCCGTGCACACGCGCGCGCGCACACATGCTTGCCATGATGAGCAACAGCCATAACGGCCCCTAACATGAACCAAATAGAAAAATAACGTCCATACAAGTGTTTGTAAGAAGGAAATCACTGGCTACCTTTGGAGAGGCCTGACGCGGAGGCATGGGATACACTTTTGCAGTGTGTTAAGTGCATGAACATCACTATCGTAGCTCAGGTGAACCATGTTAAAATGCTTGTCCCGGTGCTCCAGATTCCCATTCTTTGCCAGTGTCATCGGTGAATTGCAGATGAAACAAACATTGAATGAGAAAAAAAAAAAAAAGTTTAAATGTGATCTGCTTTTTTATTTTATTTATTTTTTTGTTGAAGTGAAACTGATAGGATACATAGGTTACAATGTATACTCACACAAAAATATTTTTTTCATTTTCCTCTTCACCCCACGTGATGAACTTGGGACCAGTCCACGGGCTACCGATTGATCGCGATTGACTGGTTGGGCACCCCTGCCCTAACTGATCAGTGTGTGAAACTGATAACATACAGACCGCACATGCTTATCTTTCTCAAAATGTGTGTGAGTGGATTTTGGTCAGATGCATTGAAGAGGGTAAATTTGGTCATTCAGTTTCACTGTATTGTGTTCTACATGATGTGGAGCCATCTCACATTATATTGTATTTCACTTTTTGCGGTCTCACTGCATTGCACCTTTTGAAATTGTACACATTTAATTTCTTACTGCATGTGTAATGCAAGGTTTTGGGGTGATCATTTTTCAACACAGACTGATGTTACTGCAGTCTTGCATTGCAATAAGCGTGAGCCGGATGAAAGAATTCGGAAGTTTGGGACCCATTCACACTTAAAAAAAACATGTATACTGCAAGCGCAGAACTTGCTGACACAACTGCACGTTTTCAGTAATCATTGTTAATCTACCAGCGCTTTTTATGACCCTCACGCAGAGGCAGTCAACTAACGCTTAACAGCCGGCTGTCATCTGGTTAACACACTCTACCATTGACTACAGAAGAGACCCCACCTGTTAAAACCACAAACATTCAGATTCACAGATGCTACCATGTAGAACAGCTTTATGGCAACCCCAAATGAACAAAAATAAAATCTGCACCTCCCATATTTTGCATTTGATTTATGCAAAAAAATTTAACATTTTAACATCCAATTCTGTACCGCATATCCTCACTCTGGTCACAGGTGTGCTGGGTCACACCCAACGGGGCGAGAGGCGTGCTACAGCCTCAACTGGTCACTAGCCAATTGCAGGGCACAAATAGACAAGCAAGCATTCACAGTCATAGTCATACCAATGGACTGTGAGAGTAAACTAAAGTACCTGGACAAAACCCACACAGGCACAAGGAGAACATGCAATCTCCACACAAGAAGGCCAAACCTGTATTTGAATCCACAATCTGTGAACTACAAAGTGGATGTCTGAGTCGATCACAGTGATGCCACTTTAAACTCTATGCAATATAAAGGTTCAGGGTGTACCCCGCCTACAGCCTGAAGACAGCTGGGATGGGCTCCAGCACCCCTGCAACACTTGTGAGCATAAGCGGCTGGATTGATAAATGGTCTGCGGATTTGTGTCTATCACGGGGGAGTTCCCTCATGATAAATTAGGGAACTACTGTACATTGTTTTTAGGTGAAATCATCTTTCTTATTCAGGCTACTGCACAAAAACTACAAATGCAAGGTGTGCAGCTCAACAGCCCTGCGGTCCTGCCACAGGATGTCGGTGTGTCTGAAGATGATCCACATTGGATTATTTACAGGTAAACAACGATTTGGTCAACACTCTGAACACGCATATACAGCCGTGGGGGAAAAACAAAAAAAATCTTTGTATTCCTATTTAACATTGTTCATTGTGCAGTTCATGGTAAAGAACTTTGCTTCACACTTGTATTTTGAAATTCTTCATGTGTCGTTCGTAGTGTTAGTACTCTTAATATTTTACACCTTGATTTGTTTTTACTACATCCTCTTAGGTTCATTTGTTTTAAATTCATGATGTTTTGTTATTCCTCAAAGTCTATATCCCAATTAAGGGCAACTGTGAGATATTGACCACACTACGCATGATCTACCACATTTAACTGTTTAACAGCGCCATATCTATTCCCTCAAAAAGTAGTGATAGAACACAATATATTAATTTGTAACTAGAGAGCATGATATTAAATGTATCTATTGTTATTCTTTATCCAACTCCAATTAGAGACTGGATCCAGGATCTGTCTGCCTACGCCACGTCCACTTTCCTGCGAGCAGCGGAGCTTGGCACACAGATCAGGGAACCCTGGGTTGTGGCAAATTCCGCCATTTATTTATGGAACTACAACAGGCACTTGCTGGTGACTGGAGACTATAACTGTCTCATCCCCACCTTCCAAAGCCTGGTAGAGATGTTCCAAAAGACGGAGTGCACAGGGTAGGGTCATGCGTTGTAAATTGCTATCCATCACTTAGCTTTGACGCACTTGACGCTATTGAGAGAAAGTCTTCTGTCATGTCTGTTCAATTAGCAAGCTGCACATTTTTCATTTAATATTTAAAAAGCCTGACTTTTTTTTTTTTTTTTTTTTTTTTTTGAAACCCCGGAAAAACACCATTCCAAAACCCGGTCTACTGAAAATAAAAGCACAAACAAGTTTTTTTAATATTAAAAAAGCCTGGTTTTTTTTTTTTTTTTTTTTTTTTTTTGAAACCCCGGAAAGACACCATTCCAGAACCCGGTCTACTGAAAATAAAAGCACAAACAAGTTTTTCTGTGTCTTTTTGAGACAGTAAGCCCTTAATTTGAGATATGCTTTTCAGATGGTCATGAGCAGATTTAGTATCGGCTTTTAAGTAGTTATTAAAATGCAGGTCTGAGTCGATAATTGCGCTACTGCTATATTTCTGTATTAACTTGTAGCTTTGAATGACATAGAATTAAGGTGAGCGCTGATCTTTGACCTTTGATTTCTGGTGCCAAAAACAATCACTTCTATCTTTTCTGGGTTGAGCTGGACAAAATTCTGGTTCATCCACTCATTAATTTGATGAATAAACGTACTTAATGAACACAAGGGAATACAGTCATGTGATGACGCTGAAATGTCAAGTTGCTTGTCATCGGCATAAGTATGATGAGATGTTGTGTTGCTCCATAATCTGAGCAAGAGGCATCTTGTAAATATTCAATACAATTGGTCCAAGAATGGAACCTTGTTGAACCCTGCATGTGATCATACTCATGACCACCCAATAAGAAGTAGTAGTCCCTATCTTGCAAGTAATATTTGAACCAATTTAACACAGTGCCAGTTTGTCCCACCCACTGTTCTAGTCTGTCGAGCAGTATATTATGATCAACTGTGTCAAAATGGAGCACTGAGATCTCGCAATACCAAGATGTTGTTTTTGAACGTGTCATCATTAGTCTCAGTGTTGTGATGTGGAGAAAAAAATCAAGCTGGAATGCATTCAAGAGATTGTTTTGCATCTTATAACAGAATATGTTGAAAAACAGCCCTTGCAATGATTTTTTTTTCTCCAGAAAAATGAAAGATTTGATATGGGCCTGTAGTTACTTTTTGTTGGCGCATCCAAGTTAGGTATTTTCAGAACTGCTTTCATTACTGCAGTTTAAGGCCGGGGGAAACTGCCCTGATTGACATCGACTGCCCACATCGACATTGTACTCCAAGTTTAAGTGATTTAACATTCCCAAAATGGTTAATATATACCATTCATGTTGTCATCCCTAGAAATCATGCTCTGTTGGTCCTCCTTTGTGATGCTGTTGCTCGAGGTTTGTACCAGCATCTCGCTGTACCAGATAACATGGAACAAGCCTATCCACAAGAGAAGGGAAAAGTAAAATCAGAGAAAGCCATCGTTAGTCAAGCTGCTGTGCTCGACCCTGATGCACTCCTTAAGGTCCAAAAAGCTTTTGAGGTATGTCAGTGTGTGTAATGTGTTAGTGGGATGCTCCAGTCTTTCAGTTTCAGTTTGGAATAGCAATTCTAGATCTTCGAAAAGTTTAATTTTGTTCTCATAATACACTACATTGTCCCATATATCTTGTAAAAAAATAACTTTAAATAACCTAAAATAATGTTTTGTCTTCACTCTTAGCTGTGTAACTACGCCCTTTCCATATCCAATGGCAACACCATAGGAGAGGCAGTACCCATTGCTGTCCAGAAGCAACTGGTGGCTACATGGGCGCAGATCAAAATCCTCTTGCAGCAGCAGACTGGCTGCCAAACGGACACAGATGAAAAGGTACCATTCTCTCTGTCAACCCCCGATATTAATCTCTTGGGTCAAAATCAATTTCTCATCAAATATAGCATTTCACTGTTTTTGCACGATATTTCTGGTATCAACGGCATGCGAGACAATGCGGATGATGTGCTTCTTTTGGCTTCATCAAGCCTAAATCTTCTCTCCCTGCAATGGTTCATAATTCAATTTAATGTGGTTTGGATGAGAACTGACATCGCCAAATATGAGGCAGTGGTCTTCGATAGAAGTTCAAGTATCTTGGGGTGTTTTTCATGAGTCAGGGAAGAATGGTTGTCAGAATGATGCAGTGTCTGCAGTGAGGCGGCCTCTGCATCAATGTGTATTAAGGAAGACCTCAGCTTGATATCCATCTTAATCTACGTTCTTATCCTGACCTCTGGTCACGGGTTCTGAATGGTCACTGAAACAAGAAGCTCATTGATACAAGTGTGAGAAATTAGTTTTATTGATCCGGCTCTCTTCAGCGATAGGGTGAGAAGCTTGATTATGTGGGAGGAGGTCAAAGTAGAGCGGCTGTTCCTTCACATCCAGGATCCAGTAGTTTGGATGCCTACTGGACGCCTCCCAGGTGAGGTGTTCTGGGCACGTCCCATAGGAAGGAGGCTCCAGATGACCCCCGGACAATCTGGAGAGCCTCTTACTTCCCAGATCTCCTGGAAAATCCTCCAAATTCACTTGGATGGGCTGGACGAAGTTGGTGGGAAGAGGGAAGTCTTAAGTTACCCTGGTTAAACTGCTGCCACCTTGACCTGACCCCAGATAAACACAAGAAAATGGATAGATGGACACCTGATCCATAGTAGGAATTGTACATTGTCCTACTTGTAAATACGTGTAATATGATCCAGTATGTTAACTGTGATATACATAGGTTACCTATAGTATACTGGAATTCACAGTTTGAGTTCCTATTTTTTCTGAACAAAAAAACTTGTTTTGAACCGACAAATCTGCGTTTTCCTTCAGTAACGGGGTGGATTGCCTCCATACCCAGAAAGATAGGTCACAAACTTGCCTTGAGAAAGACTTTGCTGTTGCTACATGGCAGTGCATCAAAACTTGAAAGTGTTGTCTTTGGCTTTGTCTTTCTTTGACACCAACGGCATCTAATGTAATAGTTTCCCTCATTAGCTTCTTTTTCTCACAGAGCAGTCATTCATTATCGCATCCTGCTAACTTTACTTTGTTGGGACGGGGGTGGGGGATTTTTTTCGGAGCTCTGGAAAAGAAAAAAAATGATGACAATCCATTTGGCTTTAAACGTAGATAAGCACAACAGCACACCCATTGGTTTGTGAGGATGTTAAAAAGGACATACTCATGGACTTTGAAAATGATAGTGCATCTCCCATTCGTTATGAATTCTGTACTTTGCTCCACCCACATTATGCACTGTCTGTCATTACTTTTGTTATTTCCACATACAGTGGTCTCAGAGTATGCACAGCTTATAGCGTCACAAAAAATGACTTGTTTGTCACAAAAACTGATTGATAGGTTCCCTTATTCCTACATCCTTGAGCTGTTTTTTTTTTGTCCAAACTAATTAGATTTGTTCCTTACCAGGCATACTGAGAACTGCAATACTACAGTGTAATAAATTGTGTGAATTTATAATTGCAATCCATCATTCCTGAACTCCTGTTCTTTTAACTAACAAGTCTTGCTTTATAAATAAGTGAGTTTGTTTTATGATTTAATATGCATAGTATTTGGGAAATATGTAATCATTACACAGCGTAGGCATATACAGTACCTGCGAAAACCAGCAGCACTGGTATTATAAGATCCAGTAATACAAATAATCATACTAAAAATGATCGTAATTAAGGATGGTCGATGCCATTTTTTTTCCAGACCAATATCAGTATTCACTCTTAAGTACTCACTGATATCGATACCACTAATATGTGTGATTCAGTACATAGAATTTAAATGAACCTTTCTGTATTTCTGACACACATGATGATTCACCAATGTGTCAAATGGCCACAATGTAACACAAACTACTGGCAAGGAAGACTTATTCAATGGCCGATTTTTTTTTTTTTTGCCCTAGGTAATTATCAGTGGCTGGTATCGCCATCCTTCACGCTTACTCAATACCTTGAAATAAGGCCAGTGTTTGTACTTGCCCATACCTATAATAATAACAATGGATTGACCACCGTAAAAATAAACATGTATTGTTAAGTGATTGCCTTAATATATGATATAAGCTAAACTTGTAAGTCAAAAATGTTTGTATGGATCTCTTCTGTTGAATCCTTACAGCACAAGTTTACTTAAAGATGTATTCGGTGAATGTATACTTATAACCAACCATAAATACAAACCAAGAGTTTGATATGTGCTCAGAAGATCAGTGTGTCCAACTTCAAGTCTAAAGATGCTTCTTGTTCCAACTTGACAGAATGAAGAAATGTCACCTATGACTCGTGTGCTGATTGCAGTGGAGATGCTTCAGTCCTATAAAGATTCCAGTCCCTCGGAGGGTTATGATCCCAGTCTCTCAACAGTATGTACCTGCATCTACCAGTTTTACTACGTTGGGCTTTCCGATGCCTTCAGAATGACTTAACCGTAATGAACTTAACGCCGGTCCAAAATTTCTTCTCCCCTTGGTTTCTATCTTTTTTCTTTATAATCTCCACTCAACATTTGCTCTGTCTGTTAATTTGCGTTTCTATATTCCCCCTCTACTGCCTTCTCATAACTCTATCTATGCTCTATTCACCGTAGTATTTCTCCTTACAGTATATTCCTTATTATGCCTCATCCGTATTCTTAACATCATTATTTTTGATGCTCTTTTACTCCCTTATCATTTCTACTATCTCTCTCTCTCTCTTTCTCTCTCTCTCTTGCTCTCGTAACATTCACTTGTGACATTTATTAAGCGTCCAGTTGTCCAATAATCACTTAATCACTCCTTTATCATACCCTTATATATTTTCGGCCCCTCTTTCATTTACTCTTCTTGTATTTTGTCTCTTGTCACGAAAAGCTGGTGACCATGGTGTCGAATTGCAACTGGACTGATGCTGTGGTGGAGTTACAGACGTGGTGTCAGCTTGCTGCCTTCTGCCACCATGCCAAGGAATACAGTTTGGTCCTGAGCTGCACTGAAAGAGCGATGCAGCTCGAGGATGCAGCATCCAAGTGTCTGAATACCACCCCTTGTCTTTTGTAAGTCCATAGACCTTTTGATTTCAGATGTTACCTGAAGCAGTTGATAGACTGATAAATACTGTTTGTGTATGGGATGCAGCGCTTCATATCAGTGAACACATTTCATTGAAATAATTTGCAGATGAGTTTTTAAGACCTTTGGTAATATCATTGGGAGGGGGGGTGGGGGGGTTGTGTTGCAACTTTTGGAGTTCTCGAGACTTATATGTAATCTTTTCCTGGTTAATCTTCTTACTTACCTAGGTATGGTTTACCTGCAGTGAATGAGATGCTGAGCACAGCAGCCTGTTTGAGGGGCTTGAGTTCAATCCATGAGTCCATTGGAGATGTACACATTTACAAGACAGCCATGGACATGCTTCTGTCTAGTGTCAGGTGCTGTGTTTGTATGTGTACTGATTTAACACCTCTTACCCAATTCGTTGAAGGATCCTAATTCAGTTATTCAGCCTCACACTTATGAAACATGGAATAATGTATATTCTCTTCACAGGTATGCACAAAAGGCTGGGCATTCAGAACTTTGTTTTACAGCCGCCAGGCATTACTGGAACAATTGCCTACCTCTAACACATTCACCGGAGGAAAGACACCAGCTCAAAGAGCCGTTGGAGGCAATTCTCAATGCCCTGCTTCACACTTATCCCAAACATACAAATGTATGATGACTCTCTTTCTTTTGTCGTATTGACACCTGCACTGAGACATTTATTTTCCACTGTGGGATTATGCGTGACAAGGGCCTCTTGCCAATATTGGCAGACAGCATTTTTGATTAGTGAAATTGGTTTCCTTTCTGTCAATATGAGTACACAGACAGCAGGGATCCTGACCAATTCATTACTTTTGAAATGGTGACAACATGTGGCGAAGCTGGGGAGTAAGAAAGCCCCCCCATGGCAACTCTTCTAGAAAGCAACCTTTCCATTGCAAAACACAAAATAACCCAAGCGAAATGTTAATTATCTCAGGACTCAAAATGTGTCTCTTGCTGTCTCTCACTGTCTCTCTCTCTCAGTCTGTCTCTGTCTCTCTTGTCATGTTGTCTATCATTCACTGATGACACTTCTTTGTTGCCTTTTTGTCCAGTATTTTGCTTCATCATTCCTTGATCAAACTCTTATTTTCATATTTTCTCTCACTCTTCCCTTTACGTTTTATATACAGTATATATCAATATCTCTATCTATCTATCTATCTATCTATCTATCTATCTATCTATCTAGCATGCATCTAAAAAACAGTGGAACATACAAAAAAAAGGGTGATGAACAATGAAGCCAAATACATGTATATGGTACTGAAGTGTCAAATAGTGATATTTGTAACACACAATCAATCCACTTCAGTAATTTTTTTTCCACATTTAATGTTTCAGAAACAGGACAAAGTGAAACCTTTGCAGAAAGGAGCCCCTCTTGGTAGTTCTAAACCTGAAGCACCAAGTAAGAGCTATGTACATAGATCCTGGCATGGTTGATCTTTTTTTTTTTTTTTTTAAACAGTCTTTATGAAAGAGCTGTTATTATTGTCTGAGCTGAACAGACACACTTTCTAACTAACATTGCATTTCGGCCTTAATTCTATATTCCTCTGTATATGTTTGTATGTGCCTCTGTGAGCAGATGAAGAAGCCCTAACCCTGAGATCATCGATGTACTGTCTGTTGCTTCAAATATACATTGATAGAACAGATTGCAATGGTGCTCTGCAGCTGTTGGACAATGCAGTTAGGGACATGCCTGGCACCAAACACCGACTGTAAGTAAAACTATTAAAATTGATTAAAAAAAGAGAAGAAGGTGAAAGAAATGTTCAAATTTACTGTTTTCTGTTTTTCACAGACTTCTGCTGAAATATCGCATTCAGATCAAGGCGCGGCTGGGGGAAAGCGTATTAATGGACATGCAGACCTTACAAGGCAAAGAAGAGCAGAATTGTTCATTAATGTGGCACAAAGCAGCGCTGTGTTCCTGCAACGTAACACAGCAGCTGACCTGCTATCAGAAATCAGTCACCTCTCTCATGGTAAGTAAAGATAATACTGCAACAGTGACACTTATGTTCTGAATTTTAAGTATACCGGTAGCCTTTGGGGGTCCATAAAAACATGAGTTTTTACCCCCATCTTGTGGAATCAAGATATCATTACATCTGTTTGCAACAAGTTGAAGGGAGGTATGGTCAAATAACTGCTATATTTGCATGATTCTTCTTTTTTCTTTATTTAAAATTCTGCATATATGATGGCATTCAAGTCTGAGGAAAATCAATGGCAAAAGGTCAGCTTCCTGCTGGCATTTGGAGCATGGCTGTACTGTCACAACTTGTCCACAGAGGAGGCTCAGCACCAAGTTCAGTGGGCCATTGACATTCTTCTACATTTGGAAACAGATCAGTCAGAAAATTCAGGTACCACTCGGTGACTTAAGTTGCTCGCCATTTTACTGTTAATTTAGTTTGTTTGTTGAATTCTCTTTTTTCTTTTGGCTTTCATTTGTACAGGTGGACCTGTGTCAGGTGAGTATAATTTCTGTCTGCTGTGGACTAAGGTAGCGTATTTTCCGCATTAAAGGGCGCACCTAAAAGCCTTCCATTTTCTTGAAAGCTCACAACGTGCCTTGTGTATGGTTATTTTGGTAATATGTCGAGCCCCAAAATGGCTCCTTGTTAGAGACATGCTTACAACGCAGAGTTCAAACTTAAGACGATCGGTTTCGCAGTTGAACACGGAAATAGAGCAGCGGCAAGAGAGTTCAACGTTAACTTGTCAATGTTACAACTTGCTGTCGGTTAAGTGAACTGACGTTAACTTGTCAATGTTACAACTTGCTGTTGGTTAAGTGAACTGAGTCGCTGCTTTATTAAATACGTTTTACTGACATCTGATCGTTGCTATACAAATCAGGGTGTAGTGTAGTGTAGTGTAGTGTAGTGTTCTGTTGGCATTTCCTTGAGCGTAGCTCTATCTAGTGGATGCATTGTAGATTGCGTCTTATAACGCTGTGCGTCCAATATATGAAAAAAAATATAAAATAGGCCATTCATTGAAGGTGCGCCTCATAATCCAGTGTGCCTTTTAGTGTGGAAACTACGGTAATATATATTTTTTTAACTGCAGCTTTATAAAGAGAATGGCTGAATGTATTTTTATTTTATTTATTTTTTATTTCAACCGGTAAATTGAAAAGTCAGTCACAATTCGGTACAGACAGCATCACATGGTTGCATGAAGACGGCATTGCGCTGCAGCAGGAGGAAGGTCTTGTCATTTGTTAAAGGCATTTTTACGTATCAGGCAAATCCTGGCAATAAATGTAAAGTTTTTAAATATAAAACTTCAAAATTTAGCATGTTTGTGTTATGCTCAACATGTAGTTTTGTGGGTGTTTGATATGTTGACGTGTGAGATGATGCGGCGTGCTCCATTTTCTATTTCTGCGTGATCACTGTTTTGTTCATCGTGTTTTTCTGCAGTCCACAACCCAAAGGGATTGTGTCATTTACTTTTTTGTTGGTTACCTTGTGAGTACACATTTGCCTCCTCATTCCTACAAAGTATTTTGTAAATATGTACCAGGGTGAATGCCATTGGAGTCTGTCAGAGATTTTCTCGGACAAAGTTAAAGAAATGACTCGGCACACAGGAAAATTGTCTTCAATATCGGCGGGAGGGGATCTCTGAGAGCGAACGACGGCAGTTGCTCCGATGATCACACTCTCAGCTCCCTCTCCGCCGGTTCGAACTTTTATTGCAAAATACAAGAAAGACACTGCCCCCGAGATTTGCATACCGCGCCCCCCGGTCCGGCCCCTCGCTAGTGATCTGATCTACCCGAATACACAAGTCACAGACTTTGCTGATGAGAAATGTCCACCTGGGCGCGACAGCTGTTCCCAAACTGTCTTTTGGTATTCAACAACTCTTTGTTACCAATTTGTTTATTCCCACTCTGTGATTGAATCTCGCCTTCTTCCATCTGTTCACCCCCCCTTGCTTTGACGTGATTACTCAAGAAAAGGCCCTCCGCCCAAACGGCCGACACCTCTGCGCTGAGTATGTCCAGACATGCCCTAATTAACCGAAACTTTAAACATGATACAATTTTGTTCATAGATTTCTCTATCAGAGTCACAGGTTTTCTTACACCCCAGTCCTCTTATTTTCTGTCATAACCTTGCTCTGTGAATAAGACAACTCCTTTTCTGTGTTTTCATTTTTCTGTCTAGAAGAAGACTCACAGGAGATGGATCCGGGCTCAGTAAAATGTGAAACTCTAGCTGTTGTTCAAGGACTGTCATTCGCACAGACTGTGTCCAGTCTGAGGGAGGTGCAACGCCTTGACAGCTTGGTACAAGCACACACTCTGCTTGCTGTCATGGCAGACAGAAATTCATCCGAGCACCAGTTCAACCTGCTCAGAGCATACGACTTTGTTCTCCAAATATGGCAGGTGAGTATGTTGGGTAGGGACAGGGTTTATTTATGTAAAGCTTTTTAAAAGAGTTTGCTTTTAAATGTATTGAACCTTTACCTATTCAGATAGAACTAGTGATGGGCACGTCAGTCCGTCAGTCATTATTTCAGGCCAGCCCAGTCTATCGTCGGTGGCAATAGCCAATCCGTGTTAAGAACGCACTCTCTACGTCAAACGCAAGTGCAGCAAAAGCAGACACCAGTTAAAAAGAGCAAAACAAACAGTATTGTAGAGTTTTTGGCCCCACAGACCGCAATGACATTGTCCCATAATTTTTTTATCTCACCAATCACCATGCTGTTTGTGTGTGTGTGTGTGTGTGTGTGTGTGTGTGTGTGTGTGTGTGTGTTTGGATGCATGAGTGTGTGACGCAGTAAGTAAATTCTCCACGCCAATTGGCTGTCGCCGAAGACAACGGACTAGGCTGGCCTGAAATAATGACAGAATGATGACTGACAGAGTGACATGCCCAGCACTGAACAGAATATTCAGAACAGTTTCTTATTCACAATGTTGACCCAAGAGGCTCAAACAAAAATAAGGTTATGAAGAAAAAAAAACCACAGAAAGTCATACACATATTCATGTACGCAACAACAAACAAACAAATAAAATACACAACAGTATACAAAATATCGACAGGGGAAAAACACGTTTAGCAGAATATAATAAACAAAATACAATAATTGTAAGGTAAAGAGGTGTGTGATACATTATGTTCTATCCATCCCTTGGGGCAACTGTTTTGCCACTTGCTGTTGACCGAAATTATATATTATAGGGCTCAGGTAATGACCAATCACTGCTCACCTGTTTTGTGGCTTTGATCATGTGACATTTGTCCAATGCCCGCCTCACATGACAGGATAATTAGCCAGATTCTGGCCCCGGACCTCCCCTCCCGCCCATCGCAAGGAAGCTCCTTAATGGCTCAAAAAATTATTATTAACAGATATTTCTTCCATCTGGGGTGAACTGAACTGGACCTCTTGAAAGGACATTTGGGCTGCTCCGATCATACATTGGGGATATTCAAAATGCTGGCTTGTTTTGGCCCAATTTGTCCTGTGCCCCGAGGACAAACGAGCACACATCCTGTTAACAAGGATGTGCAGCCAATCAGAGGTGACGAGGTGGTGAGGAAGAGATTTTTTTGCCACTTTTTTTTTGGTGGTCAAAACATGCCGAATTAAAATGAAACTACAATTAACCACAAGACTGTGCTGGAACTGCACAAATGGAAAACAATCTGGCCTTTTCAACAGATCAGAATCAGAATCATCTTTATTGGCCAAGTATGTGGATCACACAAGGAATTTGTCTCTGGTAGTACAGGCTATATCCTGGTATCATCAATAACAAGCAACTACGATAAACAAGGACATGACAAATAAGTATGGAAAGACATTCCATAATGTAAGGGTACCGTTGTGTGGTAGTACCACCCAATGACAGCTGTGAGACAATGTGCAAAGTATCAAGCAGAGCTAAAGTGTTCAGTGGTAGAATACAATGCTATAACAGTTGTGCAGTTGGTGCAGATAATCATTGCACCATTTTAAAGTAACCAGTAGCGGTATTTATAGAGCAAGTTTAAGTGTGCAATTGTACATGTGCTGCTTTTTGAATCGTGACATGTTGACATCTACCGGTATATTGTGGCCATTTTCATCTCACGATATCACGATATTGACATTATCAAAAAGACAAATTAAGCAATAGGAGAAAAATCCTCCACAAGTGTACTTAATATCTTCAGAAACATGTGGCAAACCATGAATCTTAATGTGGAATACATTTAATGCCTAAGATATTCATTAAGAGTTTGAAATTATTCCTTTAAAATCATGTTTTTCCTATAAACAAGTATTACCTTTTGATTGGTCACAAGTGCCAATTATTCAAATAATCATATCAGTAAAATTAATGAATTATCAAAAGGTACATTCTTTGGGTTATACATGTACCATTATGAATCAATTGCTAAAAATTTTGATTCATCAATAAAACGGTGGGGAAACTATGACAAAATAGGCTAATTGTACACCTGTAGAAAACAGAAATGGCCCAAGGATTGAGCCCTGAGGCATCCCACACAGCCACCGACAAGTCATAAAGTATTGTCTTCATTCAATTAAGTCTTGCAAATATGGGAATTGTTTATCTTTGCAGGTGTCAACAGCAGTTGTTTCTGTGACTCCCAGTGAATTTCCAAAAGGCCTGTGTCCCACTCCTGCTGGAAACAAAAAAGACAAGGGCAAAGGAAAAAAAGTGAAAGATGTACTTTACTCCTCCTTTTTTTCATATGGGTGATTTACTTTGAAAAGTGGTTTTGATGAGGTACACATTATTTTTTGTGTGTGTCATCTGCATGGACCAGCCAACCCCACCAGAGGTGACTCCCAAGCCTGTCTTGGATTCCACTCATCCTTCTACTCTGGAGTACTGGGTTAAATACAATTGCTCGGATCAGGTCCGTTACACGTTCAAAACTAATTGTAACCCACAGTGCATCAGTATTCACAGCATTACAAATCAGGTAAGGCTACTGAAAATACTTGTTCACCAAATGTTTCTATCGCTTGCAAGAGCATAGGATTCATTTATACAATAGAAAGTTTTTTTTTTTTATTGCTTTTGTGAAAACCATGACATTTTATGTGCCTATCGTTAGACCCAGAGTTTGTTTTATCTTGATCTTCTGGAAAAGGAGCTCCACTCACTCTCACTGAACCATCTGACTCTACCTGTTATGCACCTAGCTGAAACATTTGCTCATGACCTTTTGGAAAGGATGAGCCTATCTGATCTGTATCGACTCAGGTAAAAGCACTGACACGTTCCTACTTTGTAATACTAATACCGGATCCTCACACTGACAGTTGGATCGGTCTAAATGGGGAAGGTTATGTGTGAAAAGTCACAAGTGGTCAGAAACTTACACCAAAGTAATACTCATTTGTGGATGGGATTTCAAAAAACAAGGGTTAATTGGTTTCATTCACAGCCACATTTTAGAAATATGCAATAGGCCATCAGGCATTATGATGTTGCATACACATCACATATTTTTCTTTCTGCCCTCTCTGCCCACCAGAATAGTAAAGACCTGCTCTCAACTTGGCATGGAGTCTCATTGCTCATATCACGAGAGTCTGTTGAATCTGATGAAAATACAGGAAGAAGAACAAATCAGGTGTGTCAAGGACTAATATGTGTGTGTTTTGTTTTGTTTTTTTTGTACACGTAGCATCATTTGCCAACAGTAAATTGTATTCACCACCTTAGGTGCCACGGAGCAATCACTCTTTTACAGGAGAGAAGACGCCTTTACACGTCTCATAATCAGGTCAGCCCAAAAAGCTTTTCTGCTTTATTGGTACATCAACTGCTGCATATTCACACACAATGATAACACTTTGTCTATTTATGCAGTGTGTTCCAAAATATTCATAAAAATATATATTTTTTTCACTAATGAAGGGTTCGGGGAATTTGCATATTAACTGGTTGGGTTTGATACCTCTAAAAAGGTTCAGAACCACTAATATAGATATATAGGCCATAGGTCACATTTTTTGTGAAAAAAGTTTTGAGTTCTTTATCTTGGTCTCTTTGTGATTATTTATTTATTTAACTTCAGAGAAACTTGCCATTTGAATGAGTGTATTTCGACTTCATGTGTACGTAATGCCTAAAATCACCCTTTTGGCAGTAGATGCCATAGTTGTTAATGTAAGAACTTGTCATTTTGATTATTATGGGAAATTACTTCAAATCAGCTCATAAATCGAGAACTATTTTTGTTGTCATCATTATCTTTGTCCAAGAAACTGAAGAAACCAGGGTGGACTAACACTTTTTCCATGATTGTATCATGTCAAATCATTCGCCCTTTCCAGAAATCAGATACGGAGTCACATTTACAGAGGAAGAATTTTTTCCGGCTGAATATTTGGGTTGACAAAGCAGAAGTCTGCCTGGAGATGGGACTGTACCAAGGAGCCCGGCAACTGCTGGCAGAAGCTCAGTTGGTTGCATTAGTGAGTTCAAAGAATTGCCATGAAAGTGAGAAAAAATTTAGATCTTGTCATGTTTATTTGCTTTGTTTATTCAAATTAGGAATTTGAAGACCAGACGGTCATGCCAAGAATCTTGCTTGGTATGGCTACTCTCGCATGTGACGAACATAACCACCCGCAGGCCCTTTACCTACTGGATAAGGCCCAAGCCCTAGGCGGGGACGAGCACTTTTGGTACAAGTTTACACTCACAAAGGTTGCTGCTGTTGTAGGCCAGAGACTCCATGATGCACAATCAAAGGTAAAGAAGACATTTTAATTCGGCAGGCAATTTCCCCAAATTGTTTTAACATTACCAGACATTTATTTTTAACAGATTGACCAGATCATCAAGCAAGGGTGTGAGGCTTTGACAGTGGTTCTGAAGCAAAGGGTGAATCGAGTCTCAGAGATTACCTTTTTAATTGCATCATTGGAAATGAGGTAATTGTACTTATTCATCCAGCAAAATATTTCAGATATACATTCTAAAAAAATGTCGTAATAGTTTAAAAATATTAGTCCTTTGAGGGAAACTTTGGCTCTGTTTGGAGTGTGTGACATATATAATCAGATTCAAGAAAAAATCTATACATGTCATAATGTCATTTGTGCTGTGTTCCAGGGGTGCCATTGAGTGTTTAAGTGCCATGTCTGACAGTGATCCTGGAGTTGCACTCTCCACTAAGGAAATGCAGATGCTAAAAGCTGCTTGTGATACACTCGGGCAATGTGCAAAGGTTTTCACTCAACTCAACTACAGAGACCATGCTGCAAAGAGCAATGAAGAGTGCACATATGGTCTGAGGTCAGTAAGGGCAAAGTTACTCCAGATTTTGATTTGAGTGACATTGGGAGTGTCCTTGTTTAATACAGACAATAGAATGTTCATATACAAGAAAATGCAGCAATGTAAGATATTCATGTTTTAAAAGGAAAAAGTGTGGATACAGTCCTTCATAAACACTGTGTTTAACCCTTTTGGGCAAGGAGTTCATCCGAACAAGTGCCACTGGTATCATTTTCAGTTTTTTTTATTTTGTTTTATATGTACTAATTTTGTCTATATGCAGATATTAACTTCAACAAACACATGAAAAGGCAAGAACATGCTGTGGAATTATGTATGATGGATGGACTTTTCATGAATTATTATGTACGGTATTATTCATTTAGGAATGAAACAAGCAATATTTCCAGTCAGAAGTGGAGTGCCAACTTTACATACCGTATTTTCCACACGAAAAGGTGCACTGGATTATGAGGCGCACCTTCAATGAATGGCCTATTTTGTAATTTTTTTCATATATTGGACGCACCGGATTGTAAACGCAATCTACATTGCATCCACTAGATGGAGCTACGTTCAAGGAAATGCAAACAGAAGGATCAGCTGTCAGTAAAATGTAGGAAACTGGACTGTCTCAGAAGTGTTTGCTATTTATTCCTTTGTTGTGTATTCACAAGCGATGAAATCACAAAATAAATTCTGTATGGGGGCTATAGAATGTATTTTGTGATTTCCTCGCTTGAGTTTCTGCTTTGATGCATTCTTTTCAATTTTCGTAGTTTCATTGAAGTAATCGTTAATTGATGTTTTTCGGAGCCGGTCATGTACACCTCTCGAGTCGAACGGAAGAAGAGAAGGCATGGAGACGTAACTGTATTTGTTGAGACTGTGAAAACCATTAATAAAGTGTGCGTTTTAAAAAAACACCACAGCTCTCCTTTTTTCGGAGCTGCAACAAAAACGTATTTACATTGACTCGTTAACGTTGAACTCTCTTGCCGCTATTCTATTTCCGGGTTCTATTGCATGTCTCCAGCAAGGAGCCCATTTTGGGGTCAACATATTACCGTAACGACCATACACTAGGCACACCGGATTTTAAGGTGCTCTGTGAGCTTTAAAGAAAATGGGAGACTTTTAGGTGTGCCTTTTAGTGCGGAAAATACGGTAAATACATTTTATAGAAACATTTGTGTAATCATGGACAAAAAGCAGTTGTGTGCACATTTGGGACGAAGGAGTCTGTGAGTGGGATGATTAATAAAAAGTCACATCAATGGATAGCATAGCGTATGATTTTATTCGTTTTGTGTTTGTTTTGCTGATAACTGACTCTCGACCATTTCTCTCACACTTTATGTTGTTCTCTTTTTAAAACGTAATCAACCCTCTGAAGATTTCTGGCCAACAAGGCTACAGACAAAAAGGAGAAGCAGCGTTTTCTGCTCGATGGACTCTCTCACATGCAGTTAGCAATCTCAGAACAAGAACGTGTGGTTTTGAATGCCGAAAACCTGCTCCACCTGGAAGAGGCAGTAAGTAAACTACCAATTTTACACAAAAGCAATCTATGTAATTTTGTCTTGAGTAGAATGTCAACAGTCTGTTGTTTTTCTTTTTTCATTTTGAGAATATTGGGAAGAAAATGTCTGCATATTATGATAGTACTTTGTATTGAAGTTTCCGTTTGAATTGGAGAGGGGATGGAATGGAGAGAGGCTTTCATCAACCAATATTAAGATGCATGAAGCACCCAATCAAATGATGAACTCTTGGTTTGTATGTCAGGGAAATTAGATTATATTACAGCTATACAAGCTGAAGTTTTCTCACTGGAACCCGTCAACACAATTATACAAGATGTACGTGGATGTCTGAGGGCTTGCAAGCCAGAGAAACGCTGGCTGATTCATTTGACATTTTGATGGAATCAGAAAAAAAAAAAAAAAAAAACACATGCTGGAGAATCAACTATAATTGGGTTTTTGGATCAGATGTCCTATCAGTGGACTCAGCTGTCTGAGAAACAGTGATAACAGTATATGCCCAGCAGATGGCGCTGCTGCCCTAGTCAGTTTTGGCATGCTTCGTTTCGTGCAGTGGTAGGGAACTCCGGTTCCTCGATAACCACATCATGCCTGTTTTAGATCCCTCCCCACTCCAACACACCTGATTCAAATGATTCCAGGTTTTTTCTCAGCTTAATTATGTAACTATTCTTTCATCAATGTACAAAACGTTAAAAAAATGAGGTCCTTTTTTTCTTTGCATAACAAATGTCATTTTACTCTACATTTGTTCAATATAATACTGCAAGTGTGCATCTTTCTTCAGTTTATGATTTAATTACCGAGTATGAACTCACTCGTGTGTATGGATTCTTTTGCCAGAATTGTGGAGTGATATTGTCACCCAAGTGGACACTACTACGCCTCCGTCTCACCCTGGCAGATGTTTGCTTGGCAATACTGGAGGAACATTGTGAAGAAATAGTAAACCGAGCTCTGGTCAAGGACAAGACTATTGCTGAGATAGCAATTGAAGATTTTATGCGCAGCATTCCCGAAACCAACTCCACGGCCCGCGGGCCGTATGTTTGACACCCCTGCTATAAACCCACTTGGAAAAAAAAATAGAAACAAACAATAATTTATGGGTATGCATGTTACTTGGTCTTTACATATAATCAACAGAAAAAGATTTCAGAGAAAGAATGCAAAAACTTGAAGATAAGATCTAACTCTGCACAAGGACCGAAGTACAACCGCATGTGATATAATGGGACTGATTTGTATTCCACATTGCATAAATTTTCCCCATTAAAAAAAAAATATACATAGCTATAATCCTGAATTGATTACATTTCCTCAAAATTCTACACAAAACAATTTATTTATTTATTCATTTATATTTGGCTTGTCTGTGACAGAGGCCGATGCTTTTGCTTCTGCTGCACTCCTCCCTTATCTTCTCTGCTGTCTTTGTCTCGTGTAGTCTTGTGTCTTAACCAATACCTTAACCCCCCGCGGCATTTCTTCCCGAAAATCTGACCATGGGTTTGGTCTGCTGGTCTCTCAATACAATTGAAAAGATTTTCTTGATGTGAAAAGCTGGTAGAGGGGAGCTGGTTTGCCCTGAGTGGACAGTTGCAGCTGGATACACCTTGGATTCGTGCAACAAATGGAAGATTGTGTGTCTCATCTATTCTGTCCATGGACGTGCAAGACTTCTATGTCATTGGAATTCTGATATTAAGTATCCTGCTCTTTGGAGCCGGCGGTTTCCTGATTTGATGTAAAACTCAGTTGATGGAAGCAGCTCTGTTGGAAGTGAACAAGCTGCCAGTCTTTCTTGAATGGTGCGACACGAGCGATCATCACTCAGACTCAGACGACGAGTGAACTCAATCTTGAGACCCTGCACAAATTCGTCCAAAACGTGGAGACGTTGGCGAATCATCTTGAAGAAGTGAATGCCAATTCGGCTAATTGATGACCTCTGACCGGGGACCGGCAAAAATTCAAGGTTGACTGGGATTAGTTGAGTTGTTCCCAAAACAACCGTTATCTGGACTGTCTCCTGGAAGTGTTGCTGCAGGACGCTTATCCTTCACCTCTCCCATTCTCCCTCCTCAGCTCTACGTTTCTGTTTACGCAGCCAAGGCTGTCTCCATGGCAAAGAGAAGATATATATTGGCTTGCTGGCTGGGTCATCGACACGGTCTTCATACTATAAACAATTCACGACTCAACACAATGCCTACGTATCCTTGACACTCCCTGCGTTGACTTTCTCACATGCTCCTCCTCCCCGTGATGGCCCAGGTGCGCTGCAGATGCACTAGCTTTAAATGGCTGAGTTGGTAGACAGGGTGCCTGGGTGTTGCGCCCCGACCTACCCTTTATGCCCCCCGCCCTCCATATGCATGTCTTCAAACAGGGATGCCCAAGTTTGGTCCTCAAGAGCCCGGCGTTTCGCTAGACTTCCGCTAGGCACGAAAATAGGGCCCTTAATACTTTTTGACGACATGCTCAATATTTTTTGACCTCATTCTTCTCAACAGGAAGGTACATGTGGCCCCACCGCCACGTTTACGGAAGATGATAACTTTGGGAAAGAGAAGGAAAGTACTTTAAGCAGTAAAGAGTCCAAGTTGACCTCTGCTAAAAGCACCCATTTGCAGGTACTGTATATACCTCATGAGATGTGATCCTTTCGCTCATGGCTCATATCTTATTTGTGAAATTACTGATGTTCACCTCATTCGTCTATTTCCTATACATCATTATCTGGATCCCCCTATAAGTGTGGTAAAAATCTGAGCTGCACAGTTGAAAAGAATGTAGACTATTTTTTTATACATATTATAACATTGCCTGTACATTTTCTCATTCATCCGAGTCACCTAATTTCATTTATTTGAGTTTAAAATATCTTTGCAGGTGGAAAGCTGATCATTCATTTTGTTGAAATACTGTATAGAATCGAATGTTGTTTCATGATAACAGAAAGACAAAAACATATGTTTTATATTCAATTTGAAAAGCATTCAAACCAGAACGGGTTCTGGCCCTAATTCTAACTGGAACCCAAAAGCTGCGTACGTTTTTTGGGGGGCTTTTAAAGTTTGATTGCAAAGCAGGCTCAAATTTTTGGAATAGATTTTTATTTATATCTGTTTAATGTACCTATTTGTATACAATACATCACAGCAATGCAATATGTATTTTTTATACACAATTTGAGGGTTCTATTGGTCTGTCATTATTCCATGAATCTCTCACACTTTTAGGCTAATTAGAACCTCAGTGCATCATATCTACATTGTATTCGCTGTTGAAGTGTAACTGGTATGTCTCTTTACCATGCAGCAAAAAAAGCGGAAAGTTGAGCTGCTCTTGGCCCAAGCCAAGAACGTACTGTCTGAAACTGTTAGTCTTTGTCTTCAACACAATTTGTCAGCCTCCATCTTGAGTGATGCCTCTGTCAATATGCTGGAGTGTCTTGGCCAGACAGACCATGATTTGGCATGTCAGTACCTCGCCTTGTTTCAGGTAAGGCTCTGTGCATCAAAACATGACATGACTATACAGTCTATATACAAGATATCATTTGCAAATGTACCAAAAAACGTCTCTCATTTGTCTACATGACTATACAGTCTATATACAAGATATCATTTGTCGAATTTGTTCTTGAAGAATGCCATTATCAACTATGATTCTGACCTTACCTAGAAGCCGCTTTGTCCAACGTGTGTTTTTATCCCTAGAGTGCTTGTACTGTTGATGTCATGGCTGATGTTTTAAATGTGGCCTGTGACGACACCAGTGTGTCCCAGCTCTCAGCTCTACTCAGCCTCTACAGGAAACTCCTTGTCTCTCAAGAGGGCAGGCCCACTCAAGTGTTGGAAGGTGTAAGACACTCCCTGAACAGCATTTCCAAGGTACCAGCCCCCCCCCCCCCACACTCAACACGCACTACTTATGATTAATGGATTCTGTCATAGCAAGTTGCTAAGATGTTATATGGCCTCTGCTCCAAATGTACCATGGTTCCCAAAATTGCTTAGATAGGCAGAACACACATATATTACCTCAAATGTTTTGGTCCCAAAATAATATGGGCTCACACCTGCCACAATTTAAAGGGCCCCTGATGAAACCTTTTTTTTTTCCGTTCTAACAAAAGCCTAAAGGTTTTGTGTAAACGCTGACTTGTATTTGTAACTCTTTATAATTCCTTCCACATTGACCAAGACCCCAGCAGAAGAAACAGCTCCAATGTATGATGCTTTCACCACCATTCTTTACTGTCGGAATTATGGTATTTGATAAGCACTGTTGTGTTTGTGCCAAATATACCGGTTGGAATTATGGAAGTAGCTTGTATGGAATCTACTTTTGGGAAGTTTAACCTTGGTTGCATGAGACCGCACACATTTTCCCCAACATGTGTTTGGGAGATTTGAAGTGTAAATGTGTAAATTTGTTTCTACCTTTAAACAATGAGATCCTTCTGATGCTGGTGAATCTCTCTGTGGACGATGACTTGTGCTTTCATGTATGACTACAAAACTGTCAAGGAAAGGAGACTTTTCATTACATGGCAGCTGGCTGGTGTGTGATGACCACCATTTAGCTCAAGTATGATTGATAATTCTGATCACAGCCATGTGCGTGCGTATGTTTCTACAGCCATATTTTCTCAGTTGTTTATTTTTAGTTGCCTTCTTGAAAAGATGTATGTTTTTTTTTTTTTTTTCCAATTCACCTGTGCATGTTATAGGTTACATTAATGGCAAAAAACGTTCTGAAATGATTTATCTTGGTCTCATTTTTTTTTTCACCACAAAAAGCTGGCATCCGAACAGGGGGTGTGTTGATTTTTTTTATATATCAGGCTATCTATCGCTTGTGATAACAATGACATCCCTAAGTTCTTCAAAATATACTCACTTCACTATCTGCTGGAATTACAGGAAGTTACCATAAATGATGTCTTACATTTCCAATTGTTCCAGTTATCCAAGTATCCGTGATTTGCTCAAGGCATCCATATATCATTTAACTCATTCACTCCCAAAGACGTTTTTATATGTCTTTTCAGACTTGGCTTAGAATTGGCTGGTATATCCGTGATTTGCTCAACGCATCCATATATCATTTAATCAGCCATTTTGCAGTGCATCTATATATCTAATAGTTTTATTAATTTTTTTTATCTTTGTTTTGTGTGTGTGTTATTTCTTTTCTTTTTATTTTTTCTTAATATCAAATATAGAATATTCTTAAAACTGAACTATCAAAATTTGCATTCACCTCGCCATTAACCTTCTGGGCAAGACAGAGAGAGAGACATGCCATTGCAACAACATGTACCACTAGACCGCCAGAGCATATCAGGTTCTTACAGTGCTATGAAGGACCCTATGCACGCACTACTTTCGTGTTTGGGATACAGTTGCATGCTAAAGTCAGGCGATCGCTCGCGATAACAATGACACCCCCAAGTTCTTCAAAATATACTCACTTCACTATCTGCTGGAATTACAGGAAGTTACCATAAATGATGTCTTACATTTCCAATTGTTCCAGTTATCCAAGTATCCGTGATTTGCTCAAGGCATCCATATATCATTTAACTAATTCTATCCCAAAGACGTTTTTATATGTCTTTTCAGACTTGGCTTAGAATTGGCTGGTATATCCGTGATTTGCTCAACGCATCCATATATCATTTAATCAGCCATTTTGCAGTGCATCTATATATCTAATAGTTTTATTAATTTTTTTTATCTTTGTTTTGTGTGTGTGTTATTTCTTTTCTTTTTATTTTTTCTTAATATCAAATATAGAATATTCTTAAAACTGAACTATCAAAATTTGCATTCACCTCGCCATTAACCTTCTGGGCAAGACAGAGAGAGAGACATGCCATTCCGATGATATTTGGGAACAGGTTCTCCATTAGCGAATCACAACGCAACTAAAAAAATAATAATAATAATAAGAAGAAGAAGAACATTAATAATAATTATAATAACAGTCCTGACGGAAGCGATGACATAAGTGCGATAAAATATTATGTTGGGCTGATGAATATATCATTTAATCAGCCATTTTGCAGTGCATCTACTGTATATATCTAATAGTTTTATTTATTTTTTTTGTCTTTGTTTTGTGTGTGTCTTTTTTCTTTCATTTTCTTTTTTCTTAATATCAAATATGTAATATTCTGAAAACTGAACGATCAAAATTTGCATTCACTTCACCATTAACCTTTTGGGCAAGAAAATTCCAATAAAGAGACATGCCATCCCGATGATAGTTTGGGTCGGCTTGAAAAAATGATGGACTGAGAATAAGGGATGGGTGCCGAATGACAGATCAGTAAATTTGTAAATTGCTCATCTCTGACTTAAGGCATAGTTGGAAGTTGTTGACTGGCACGTACAAATGTATTTTTAACCATTCAAGAATTACATTAATTGTATGTACATTAATGATATTTGGGAACAGGTTCTCCATTAGCGAATCACAACGCAAAAAAAAAAAATAATAATAATAATAACAAGAAGAAAAACAGTAAAAATAATTATAATAACAATCCTGATGGAAGTGATGACATAAGTGCGATAAAATAATATGTTGGGCTGATGGTTACAGTTTGGGTCGGCTTGAAAAAATGATGGACTGAGAGTAAGGGACGGGTGCGCCGGCCACTGCGGAATGACAGAGCAGTAAATTTGTAAATTGCTCATCTCTGACTTAGGCATAGTTGGAAGTTGTTGACTGGGACATACAAATCTATTTTTAACCATTCAAGAATTACATTAATTGTACGCACATTGGTTTTTTTTTCATCATGACAAAATGTGGCTATATTTAAATCAAAGATCCTAATGTACAAGATTCTATTCCTTGTAGAAATGTTTCTATGATAAATGTGGTGGTGTGTAGACCCTTCATAAAAACTTTCACTGTCACTTTCCAAATCCTTCTGAGCTGAGCTTGTGAACTGTGTGTGTTGTGTTTTAGATCAGAACTTTACGGCGCTGTCTACAAGGTCCCTGAATGTGTGGAAAATCCAAAACTAAAGACATCACAAGGTTATTGTCATTGAATTGAAGAAAAGTCAGTGGGCACTCCTGTGTGGTGTTGTTTCACATTCACACTCACACACTTGCTTGTTCGTAGAAAGGGTTTCGTCAGTCGTCAGCTGTACCTGTGGGTAAAAAACAAAAAACAAAACCAAAAAAGGACGTTTCGCTTCTCTCACAGAAGCTTCGTCAGCGGTAGACAACTCTGAAGTCTCCGTGAAGACTCCGGGAAATTGCTCTGCGCTAAAATAGCTGAGTGTGGCCTATTTGAGGACTGGGTGGGGATGGTTTTTGTTTTTTGTTTTTTACCCACAGGTACAGATGACGACTGACGGAACCCTTTCTACGATGGAACTTTCCTGTACGACTGAGAGCCTCCACAAGCACACTTGCTTGTTGTATCCCAGTGAATACTCTTCGGAATGTGTTATCACATGTACACAGCAAAGTGAAACAATGTCTGCATTTAAAATGTTTGGTTTCTGATAGACAGGTACTTTGTATTTGAAACACACCCATTAACAGTTCAGTTATAGAAGTATAGAGCAAAGCCACTAGCTTTTAGCCACACTGCTTCAAGGCCGTTTTACCTCTCTACATGAGACAAAAGTGAAAACAGGAGTCAAAGAAAAGAATGTCTACAAATGTCTGAATGTTGTGTCATTTTTTGAGATCAGCGATGGTTCATGAAACAGAAGAGTGAGGAATAAAGAATGAGAGAGGGGAGAAAAGTGAGGGCTGGGAGGAAAACATGGGCAAGAGGCTGTGAAGGTGCTCACTGGGACCAATTACAAGTCCTGTACTGCATGTGTCTATGAGCATGCATGTCTGACTGAGTGTAAATGTATTTGTTGTAGGTTCACTGACATGCTTTCAGGTGGCTAAGGTTTCTGTCTGCCCGAGGGCTCTGCTGGCTCTTCGAGAGCAGACGCAGGCCTTTGACCAAAAGATGAGACACGCACTCCTCAAGGAGGCCTCTTTGCATGATGGAAGAGTGGAAGCCTCTGACGATGCTCATCCGGTATGTCTTTCCTCCTCTTTCACTGCAATGTTATTTTCCCCATCCTATGATCTGCAGTTTTTGTAAAAGCGTCAAACTTGTTCTTTCTATTTACTTTTTGAGCAGAGATCCGATGAAGAAAATACATTAACATTTCACTTCAGAGAAATTGTTCAACAAATGGAAGAATACTTGAATCCACTAATTTCTCAGTTGGACTTCACTTTCTTGAGGTATTTTATCAATAGTTCCTTAACTTTCCGCTTCTGGATGCCTTAATTCACCTGCCATGCATTTTTTTGGAATGTGGGAGGAGTACCCGGAGAAAACCCTCACAGGCACCGAGAGCACATGCAAACCCCACACAGGAAAGCTGGGGCCCAGAATTGAATCTTTGACCTCTGCGCTGTGAGGCGAACATGCTAACCAGTTGACCGTCATGCCTCAATATTTCATATTTAACCAGTTGAATACATTTTCCTTGGTATATACTGTAGAGCCCCATTGTGGTGTACTACATAATTCTGGAATTAATGATGAATTTATTTCTGATACTTCATTAATCTTGTGATGGTTCCAGGGCTTGAAATAAATGTATTTAACAGCCACTGTGGTTTATAAGTTGCTTATCCCTACCCCAAAAGACACTCTTGGGATATTTTGCAATTACAACTTATTACCGCTGTTCCCTTTGAACCCTGTCACTAAAAGGGTTCATGGATGGACCATTGAGCGAACACGGAGCGGGCAGTGCATCATGGGAGTTGTATAACAGTATCACATTTCAATCATTTGTTATTCCAAATGTCATTTGAGAAAAATTCAACCCTGCAAAAAAGGTAGACAGAGTGACATTTTTACCTGCCACTGATGAAATCCACATTTTGGTGGGCTTGGTGGTTGTTGATGTCAAGCCCTAGATGGTTGTAATAAGATTGTACTGAATTGAAGATCGTATTGAGCGTTTTTTTTTTTTTTTGTGCCTAGTGCTAATGGTTGTGTTACTCTGCTAATCCTCTTTTTCTAATTTGTTTTAAGTTCCCAAGAGTCAACTGAGCTGGGTTCTGAAAAGGCCCAAACCAAAAGTGAAGAAAAGAAAGTAGCATCACATGAAGGTACAGTTCGTGGTTTATCCGCAGGCATTGCAATTAGATCCAGTGAGGGCCCAGGCAAAGCTTATATTCACTTACTTAATAATATTGTGTCAACAAAAAGTTGTAATTTTTTTTTTGTTGAAAACTTCTCTTGTTGGTCTCTGACAACAAAAATCCAGGTCATGAATTCCATGTGACCATAACTCAATAAAATACCGTTTGCTGCCTTTGGTTTGTTCTACATGAAGGCAATACACACCTAACTTCATTAGCTTGGCATGTACCATAAACATGATAATCTGAGAAAAATGACACTTTCCCATAAATCATTTCTGCTATTTTTATAAAAATAACATTGCTAAAAAATTTTACTACCAGATAGCTCAGTCTAGATTTAACCGTTAATCAAGCCAAATTATATGCCTTGTTTTGTTCGATATGGGCAACCCAAAGCAATTCTTGCTATTTTTATTTTGAGCAACTTGTAACTTATATAAATTATTTTCATTGGTGTCTGACCAAATGCATAAAGCTTGTTGATTCATACACCCAGTATAAGCTTAGCTTCATTAGCTTGGCGTGTACCATAACCATGATAATCTGAGAAAAATGACACTTTCCCATAAATCATTTCTGATATTTTTATAAAAATAACATTCCTAAAAAATTTTACTACCAGATAGCTCAGTCTAGATTAATCAAGCCAAATTATCATGCCTTGTTTTGTTCGATATGGGCAACCCAAAGCAATTCTTGCTGTTTTTATTTTGAGCAACTTGTAACATATATAAATTATTTTCATTGGTGTTTGGCCAAATGCATAATGCTTGTTGATTCATACACCCAGTATAAGCTTAGTCTAGAGTAGCAAAGACCATAGGCATCTACATGTTTGTCCTCATACTGTTTGGTATTCTTTAGTTTATTGTGATACAATTAGTACTAATAATGATCACTTACAGTATTTGATCGAAAGATGTACGGATTTGTAATTGTAACCACGATGATGTGTGTGTGTGTGTGTGTGTGTGTGTGTGTGTGTGTGCGCGCGCGTGCGCTTTTGTACGTGTGCATGTGCCTGGTTGTGTTTTTGTGTGTCTGTCAACATCAGAAGGAACAGCGGGAGAATTTGTGGTTTTGCTGGCAGATTCAAAGTTGATGGAGTTGCCACTGGAGGCGCTGTCTGTCCTTGAGGGAGATCTTCTCAACTCTATATCTCGAGATTTCTCCCTCCAGCTTTTCTGCAGTCGTATCCCAAGAGAAGAGCCTACGAAAGGTATTCAAGACCCAAATGTACACAAATTTAAAGACTTACACACAAAATCTGCCAGGGCACCTGCAAGGGATGTAAAAGAAAAGCTATGTAGCAAAATCAAAGTCAAGGGAATCAGTTGTTTTAATCAAAGACAAGAAAAAGTTTGTGTAGTTTTATTGGAAACTGTTCATGATTTTTAGTCAGTGTGTGTTTCTCTTGTCACGTAAATGTTTGCTCACACCTATGAAAGCCTCTTAAATTGTACTATGGATGCACACCCATGGTCAAATGCAATGGTCAAAAAAATCTTTTCATATAAAAAAAAAAATCTGATCAATCTAAATAAAGAAAAAATAAAGAAAAGCACATGGATCACCTGGAATGTGGCTGCCTTCAGAATAGATCACATTCAGACTCATTAAATGAGAGTAAGCACACACCTTCCACTGTTTAAATGACCTTTGATTATCCCCCAATAAAGTTCAGATGTTCTAGTAGGCTTTTCTGGACCTTTTTGTAGCTTAACGCACAAGCCATGATCTGTAGAGAGCTCATTTGTTCTAAGGTATTAAACAGTTGAAGGGTACAAAAGAATTTCCAAGCTATTAAATATACCGAAGATGATCGGTTCCATTTAACGAGACACTGTATGTATGGTGAAGTATCGCACACAGCTATGCGGTTGCATTGCATGGAAGTGATTGAAGAAAGACATTATATAAATTTTGCCTGTGGATCTGAATTCGCGTGCAGATAGTAATTACGGTATTTCTGCTCTGTATTACGAGTCACCTTGGCATCAATCGCGCCATCCACCCCTGAAGTGTCTTTTCCCCATCCTCCAGGACAGGGATGGGCAACTTAAGTGATGGAGGGGGGGCACAATTATTTATCAGCATGACTGTGCAGGCCACATATAACCAAATGTATCCAACAAGATGTATGGAAAAAATATGGACAAATATTTGATGTCTGTTTTTTCTTATTGAACCAATGTACACCACAGTATCTTAGATTTGTATATGTCATGTTTTAATTTTAATTCAAAGCCTTCAACAATAAGGCTTCAACAACCAAATAATAAGCCAGATCACTGTGAATTGTGAATGGCCGAGTACAAAACAAGTCCAAGTTAAATGCCTAGGATTTCAAGTCAAGTCAGATGAGAGTCCAGACTCAAGTTCTACAGCCCGAACATGATCATGATAATAATGTGTGATATATTTTTAAGTTCCCCCCCCCCCCGAGTATCATTTCAGATTCTGTATCAAGGTCCCCTCGGGCAGGTATTGTATCAAAGTCAAAAGTAAGTTTTGTATTCTGATAACACGATAGCATTCTGTCCATTTTTGTAAACAAAAACGAATTCAAGTCCTGATTTGCATTGATACACACACAACACTGCTCATCACCCCCCCCCCAAAAAAAACCACTATACCATGAATAATGCATGTTGGTGGCAGCATCATGCTTTAGAGCTGTTTTTCTTCAGCTGGAAATGGGGCATCGGTCAAGTCAAGGTGGAGGGAATTATGTCCAGTCCCAAATACCAATCAATGTTAGCGCAAAACCTTCAGGCTTCTGCTAAACAACAAAAAACAACAAATACAAAAAAGAAAAACCTGCTCGGACTTCTGAACTTTATTTGGGGGTTAGTCAGTGGTACTTTTAATGGCGCAAGGTGTGTGCTGACAAGAGTTGTTGTGAAGACAAGAGGAAGCAGCCTTTTTTATAGTTTGTTTAGGGTGTACCCCACCTACCACCCAAAGACAGCTTGTATCGACTCCAGCACACCCGCAACCCTCGTGAGGATGAATGGTTAGGAAAACAATGAATGAATGTAATAAATATATAAACGATAATGTGTGTAGTGTACTCCAGTGTGACTACCGTAGGTATTGACAAAATCTGAGTTCAGCCTTTCGTGCACCCTGCAACCTGATAACATGATAAGCTGTCCACTGTAGTAACCGCTGTCTCTGAAAGGGTTAAATAGCCTATTAATGTTGCAATCAATTCCAGTGGTCGTTGATGCTGCACCATATGAAAAACTTTGAGAAGACCAGCCTTTGCAGCCCCAGCATACTGTTTGAAAGAAATGCCAATGACTTCTTAGATATTCTGAACCTCTAGATCAGTGGTTCTTAACCTGGGTTCGATCGAACCCCAGGGGTTCGGTGAATCGGTCTCAGGGGTTCGACGGAGCTTCTGCCACGGAGGGCAAGACACACCCGACTTATGTCATTTAATTATGACACGCCCGCTTGGCCATCACTGGCTGCAGATGATCACATGACATTGCTTGTCCAATCGGTGCTGTGGGAAATTTAGGTCGCTTAGTAGTCAATGTGTGATTGTCGTGATAGTACGTTGTACAATTAAAAAAAAAAAAAAGTATACTTATCTCTTGAAATTTTATTTACTTTTTTGTGTTTAATAAATTGCATTTTTTTAAATATATTGAATTTGTAAAAAATATATATTTATTTATTTTTCACGAATGAAGGGTTCACTGAATGTGCATATTAACTGGTTGGGTTCGGTACCTCTGCTTGGGTTTGGTAGGTTAAGTGCTCTAAATGGTGTAAAAGACTTGACAAACACACAAGTATTTGTTCATTCTGCCTTCTGCTTCTAGTGGTGGAAAAGGACCCCAAAGCGGGTAAAGGCATAAAGGGGAAAGCCGATCAAAGCCAAGCTATCAAAGCGGTGAGTAAATTGATTTGGGCCTGCTCGCTAGTGACAATATCATATTTACCTGCTGTTGGTACTGGATATATGTGTTTCCCCAAGCTCCAGACTCTTTTAAGAATCTTTATCCATCAGTTGCCAAATGCGGTTTTTAATTAAGCATATTCCTTGAGTTCTTAGAAAGGCGCCCACAAATAAAATGTATTATTATTATTATTATTATTATTATTATTATTATTTCTCACATTCCGAACTTCAGCTTTGATTCCATTGGCCAATTTGTCTCCTGCAAATGTCTCTCGGCTGCTCTTTGCCAATGTGCCACATGCACGGTGAATGTGTTTTTATTTATAAAGCTTATAGAAGGACTTTAAAAGTGATGTCATTGATTTATCCGCTAATAGGTGGACCATCCAACAGAAACAAATAAACACTTCCTGGATATAACCCCTAAATATTGACTGCCTAAAATAAAATGGGGAATACCAATTAATTTGTGATACTGTAGATGTGGCATAAACCTTACAGTGTTTAATATTATTCATTATATGTGTCTGAATAAACTATGGCCTCCTTCCATTTACAGTTGAGTAAATAAACAAAGCCATTATTTGCGTGAACAAGCTATCATATTTTCAAATGTCCGCAGATACCTGCCAGTCATGTTCTGCCTGAACGCACCGTCCCAGCGAACTCACAGAACTTCAAATGCATCTTTAATGACAAAGACATTGTCAACACTTTCAACAATTTTGGTGAGTAAAACTTGAAACCAAGTCATGTCATTACTTTTCGGGGAAACGGAGACCAAGAATATTTTATGTTATGCTCGGTTTTGATAGACACTGTCAGAAATGTATTCATGTCACTATTACTGTATGTTTACTATTTGGGTTGTAGTTTGTAGTAGGCTGTATCATACCGTTCGATTCAAGTCTTGTTGCTAAATCAGGTCAGAAATTCATCTTAAACTGGGCGTTATTGAAATGAACGTTGCTAATACTCTTGCATTGCATCTTGTAAGACCCAATTTGCCAGTTTGCTTGTCATGTTTTGTCCAGTTGGTGTATTATTACAAAACATTGTTGCAGTTTTTGTCAAAATGACTTGAATGTATTATCGATTATAAATAGATGAGATAAAAAGCACGTTATCACAATCGTCCATTGTGCCTGCTCCTACTGCTTCATTTACACATCCTTTTACATTCAGCCTCCGCAAGTGTCTTTGTTCCTCCTCAACACATCTTCGCAGCTTTGTTTCACAATCAGCTGGACATTGTGTGTACTGTGATTAACTCTGTACTTAATTATAAATGTTTTTGTTGTCCAAACGTTTTCAGAAGGGACCACTCTTGTTGAGAGGATGAAGATGAACTGGGGCGCATACGGTCAGCACTTTAACCGTTTGTTGGCAGGCTTTTTGGGCATCAAACAAACTCCCAGGTGGGGCTCTGTCATTTTTTTTAAATTCAGTCACGTTTATCTACTGACAGAAAGAGGCATTGCATGGGACATAGTGTAATATTTCTAATGCCATCTCCTATTTTTAAAAAAAAAAAAAAAAAGTTTGAGTGAGTTGGAAAAGGTGCTGTGCAAATGCAGTGGATTCATGTACCTGGGAGCGGAACGCTTCTTGACTCCAGTCCCACCTGCCAAACTCGCAGCTCTCAATTTGTCAGGTAAAGTATATTTTCCCAAAGTCATTCATTATTAATGTATTTCTTGACCGTTATAAGCAATAAATGTCCCATTCCTTTATCAATTTTCTTCCACTTATCGGGGGTCGGGTCATATGGGAAAGGAGCTTAAGCATGTTTTACTTTTAAAAACCTCTGAATTCCTTTTTTTGTTTTAAAAAATATTTTATAGAAAATTTCCTTTGCAAAAATGAGTAATTAACATACAGGGAATTTAAAATAGCATAATCCCAAATGGCTAGTTGAGCAAAACATTTTTAGCCATATCAGTGGCATGTCGTCAGGGCCTTCACGGCCTTCCCTGCTGGCAGAAAAATCAAAAGCACTGACCTGCCTTCAAAACTTTGTATAAATTTGGAAAATATTACATAGATTCATATCCAGCAATCTTTTGTCTTTGTTCAATATAGTGTCTTAAAGTCGTTTGTGGGTTATCGTTATTATCGCTTTCACCCAATGAGATTTCAGCTTCTATTTGTTGCTATATAAACTTCCCAAGGCCTTCAGATGCAGGATTGCAAACCCAGTAGAATGGAATCTGTAATTTTTTTTTTTTTTGTTTGGTTGTTTTTTTGAAAGACGAACAACCAATCAGATTTCATATTCAGTATCGGAGAGCCTGCCGAGCTGGGTAGAGGCAGCACTTTTCCGTCCTCTGGTTGGTTCAGAGTGACTCATGTGGGATTCATTGCATGAAGCTGGGCACACATAGACAAACAACCATTCGCACTCACACTCACAGCTAGGGACAATTTAGAGTGTTCCATTAACCTGCCACACGTTTTGGGAATGTGGGAGGAAACCAGAGTACCCGGATAAAACCCACGCAGGCACGGGAAGAACATGCAAACTCCACACAGGAAAGCCGGAATCGAACCCTGCACCTCTGCACTGTGACACCGACGTGCTAACTAGTCGACCACCGTGCCGCCCTATTTTTAACTTCCTCATCCCATTTGCATCTCGGTGTGTTTAGATAAAATCCCCCTTTTTATCCTGTTTTTCACACATGAACCCACAATGAATGGGCTTTTCAAAAGTAGGCTACTTTGCATGAAAGCAGACATTGTTGATGATTTTCTGTCCTTTTCAGAATGCCATATGGCTCTTCTGTTTGACCTGGTCCAGAGTAATACCAATGCTGTGCACTCATCCAACTTTGACGTGGACAAAAGGTAAATGTAGCCCTTCATTAAAACATTTCCATTCATTATCTCTTTTGATATTTTCTCTCCACCTCTCCGCTTTCAACGTGACTCCATTCACATCACATTTGTCCTTTTGTTGTCAACGTAGACTCATGCATCAGATTTTCCTCGCATTCCTAACCTTGCTACTCGTTTCCCCCAGGGCAGGACAACGCACCCTCGAGAAGCCCTCGGAGGTCGCTCTGCTATTGAGCCTGAATGGCGTCAACTGCATTGTCCTCAACCAGTGGCATAGCAGCCTTCAACAGATCTCAGAATACATGACCAACTTTTTGGACAGTATGTTCTAAACCAGGGGTGTCCCACTCCAGTCCTTGAGGACTGGATAGGGATCCAGCATGTTTTCGATGTCTCCCTCCCGCAACACGCCTGATTCAAATGATCAACTCATTAGCTAGCTTTTCCGAAGCCTGATGATGATCCTGATCATTTGAGTCAGCTGTGTTGGAGTAGGGAAGCGTCAAAAACATGCTGCTTTGCTCTTGAGGACCGTATTTGGACATGTCGCTTCTGAACCGTCAATTCTTTCAAGCATGATTTGATTGATTTATTTATTTATTTGTTTGTTTTGTTTACAGTACATGATTTGCTTTTTTGGCTTTGGGAATTGAGGATAGAATCTGTTTTGTAGGTTTTCTGAGCGGCAGACAGACCTCCGGTCAGATTGTCCATTCCCTCAGGCGAGATGATGATGATGAGGAGGAGGATGCTGATGATAATGATGCCACGGGATCAGATGGTAGAGTATATTCTGCATTCCACCAAAGTTTCAAACAAGTTAGCATTTCTGCATCAGAAGCCATACAAATTTTGTTTGTCTAAAATCACTTGGAGAAAAATTTCTCTGGAAAGACAAAAGCATCCAGCAGACAAATGTAACTGGACGAGATGCAGAATTAGCCATCTCAAAAGCAGACTTTTTATTACATGATTGTTTTTCCCACTTTGCAGATCACAATTCTGTCTGTGACTCAAAAGAAAAACGTCAGCGCAAACCTGAACTGACACCATCAGCCTTCAACTGTGTTCTTTATGGTCTCCCTATTGTGACCGGCGCATAAAGCTATTAAAGTCACTCGGATATTGCATTGCGCTTTAAGTGTATTGACTACTGAAACACAGGCAGCGAAATTCCAAATGCATGTGACAGGAAATCCCAGATGACAAAGCGCACCTGATATAAAGCCACAACAGCTAAAATTTAGATATAAAAAAAAATCGACAAATATCGGCGGCTAATACCATGGGACATTTGCAAAGAAATTGACTCCTTCCTCTTCCTCATGTTTTCCTTGCCCCCCCCCCTCCCACCACCACCTTCCATCTAAGAAACTTGGGGCGCTAAAATTAACCGCCAGGCTTCCCGTTGTCCCCCCTTCTCCTGATTATTTTTCATGTTTCTTGGATGCATTGTGACTATGAAGAAACATTCCTGGTATTTTTACATACTTGACCAATAAATATCATTTTTATTCTGAAAATGATGTCACACTGATGTATTTTTAAAAAACTTAATAGCTTGAACCCCAGTAAATCCCTTTTTTTTTTCTCAAAACAATGCCAAACACGGCTCATTAGACACTAGCCTCCCACAAAAATCATTGCTATCTTCGTCTTCTTCCTCCTGCGCACTTAACCCACCAAAGCCCTCTTCAGTTTCAGAAGGGTACAGCCCCAGAACTTCCTTCGTAACATACGTTCGCAGTCTCGCTCTCAATTGTCACTGTCGGTACCTGTCACTAACGTTATGAGACAAATTCACCAATGAGCTTGTGCCGTCCTCTTCAACATGCATCACTGCAGCCTTTGGAAACCTTTAGCAATACAGTATTCGCTCTTTGCATCCGTCCAGCTGTAATGGAACTGTAGTCCGCAAATGATGGTAATAGTCACAATATCCCAATTTAGCGTCTTTTGTTCGACTGTTAATTCTGAATAGAATTGTTTTTGTAACTCATCATTTCCTCTCCCAATGTAGCTATATGGTGGCAGATATGTTTCATATTGGCCATGCACTCTGCAGAGTTTCTCACTAATTTAAATAGCAAAGGTACTTGCTGTTGTACCATTTTAATTCATTCTTCATGACATTCTATTGTTTGTTTTGTGAAGAAGACCGAACCTCTACCCTGAAATTTGCTGCTTCTTATTGTGTATATGTAAGTTAAAAAAGTAAAATGCACTTCCTAACAGGGTTGGGCGGCCATGACCATTAAAAAAACAAAACAAAACATGTCTTCATCTGTAAACTTATGTAAGCTTTGGCCATCTTATCGTGAAGTGCTTTATTTTGGAGATCTATCTTGTTGTGCGTTGGTGTAGTGATTCACTCACCTGACTTTGGTCCAGGCAATGTGAATCCGGTTGCTGAGATAGCAGGTGCAAGAGAAAATAGTGTATATACATACATGCAATAATACATAACAAATATACCTCAATAATTACACAGTCAGTTTTGGGATAGTAGTCAAATCCAATCTTTCGACTTAATGCTTATAGTACATAAATTACTAGTCAGTTGCTCTTCTCATTATGATCCATGGATGGATGGCTGGATGTTTTATTGTACAGTAAAACATGAACGTGAGTCAGTTTTAGTGAATTTCGAAACTTATTCTCATTTGTCTAAAATGAATCAGTGGAACAGCGACAGGCGGGCAGCATTATCATTTTAAACATGCGCGTAGCCTTCAGGTTCCAAAACACCGGGTTGACATTAGTCTTGTTTGTTTCGGCCAGTTGTATCCAGAGGATGCAATGAGACTGGAGCTGGACTGTATATCGTTTTGACCTTTGTGTGCACTTTATGTATGCATGTGGGTCAGTACAAGAGGGCGCACGAGATGCAAATCTTCTAAGCTGGCGGCTTGCTGGAGAGGAAATGAAAATGTGTTGAAATGTAATATTAAATAGCTAGTCCAGGTTGTACCCTGCATGTGTCCTGCTGAGAAAGGCTCCAGCTCAACTCTGACCCTCATGAGGCAAGTGCTATTCAAAATGAATGGATTCTTAAGTGGCCTTTTTGAGTGTCAGAAATGAGTAGGTTTATTGTTACATTTTGAATGGACATCAAAAATGTTCTTTTGCATAGTCTGTAATCAAGCATGTGCACACGCACGGATCAAAGGGAGGCTTGAGCCCCTTGCTCCTCTATTCCTTGTATTTTAAATGAATGAATCTCATATACATGCTGACTTTGGCACAGCTTAAATGTACAGTACCTTTGACAAAATACATAAATCCAAATAGCTGGTTAGGAGATGACGCCCAATGTGCTATGGAGGAAAAGCACACGGGCAGCTCTCTGCATAGTTTTGTATTTGTTTATGGTGTTTTTATGCCCTTTATGTATGGAGATGAAGGAAGTGATTGAATCTACAAAATGAGAAGATATAACAGTTCATGTGTCTAACTTGCATAACATGAGCTACAATGGCTTATGTGTTTGGTTTGGCTGAGGCTCTTCAGCATGGGCATACAGGTTTATATTTATGGGGCACTGCAGGAGAATGCAGTTAGCTGTATCTCATTATGTGATGTATAGGGTAATACACGTTATACTGTTACATAGCCAACACATTGTCGAATATAAATACACAATCAGGACACTTTGTACAAAGGCCTAGTACAGCTATTGTCGTATTGATAATGGTTTGCCAATTGTTGCCCAATTTTAGAGAGGTTGCGTGCGTCTAGGGACAAAGACTATAGTGGTGACAGCCACTTAACTTGTAGCGACATGGACATGGCAGATCAGCATAACAAGAAGCATCTCATTTATGTGTAAGTGTTATACCGAATGGCTTTCAAACTGTTTCTCCGAAAGACAAATGGTAGCGCTCTATTGGCAGTATACAGTACACAAACCTTTGATTCCTTTTTCAAGAAGCCTCGTTTGCTTGGTGCTCCTTTTTCTGCCAGTCAATGTACATTGTAAGAGATGCCCAAAAAGTTTTTTTTTTTTTTTTTTTTTGGGAGGGGGGGGGTTGTAACTGTCCCTGTTTTGGGAGTGGTAAGGGCGGTAAGAAGGTCTCATTTTGCATTAGACTTGATTTTCCCAAGTTTAGCCTTGATCTTGCCTTGACCTCTGGGAGCATCTGGCTCCTGTCTGCCATGCCTCAAGGTGGACATTGAGGCTGCCCTGATGTGTCAAACAGAGCAGCAAATCGGATTTCCTCCCCCTTTAAACAGAACAAGAATCCACAGGCATTATACAAACCCAATTAAAATGAAGTTGGGACATTGTGCTAAACAAAGAAAAACAGAATACAATGATTGATGGGAGATGACAAATCATGTTCAATCTATATTTCAGGGTTAGCTAGATATTTAATGTGCAAACTGCGAAACGTTTTTTGTTTTTAGCAAATAATCATTCACTTATGGTTGCAACACATTCCAAAAAAGCTGCGACCGAGTCATGTTTACCTTTTTTTCTAACATTTAATAAACATTTCGGAACTGAGAACTTGAATTGTTGAGGCTTCGCACGGTGGAATTCTTTCCCATTCTTGCTTGATGTACAGCTTCAGCTGTTCCAACAGTCCCCATTCATTCATTTTCCGATCCGCTTATCCTCATAAGGCGTGTTGGAGCCTATCCCAGCTGTCTTCGGGCAGTAGGTGGGGGACAACCTGAACCGGTTGCCAGCCAATCGTAGGGCACACAGAAACAAACAACCATCCGCGCTCACACCAAGGGACAATTTTGAGTTTTCAATAAGCCTGCCGTGCATGTGTTTTTTGGAATGTGGGAGGAAACCGGAGAAATCCCACGCAGGCCTGGGGTGAACATGCAAACTCCACACAGGAAGGCCGGAGCTGGAATTGAACCCCGTACCTCTGCACTGTGAGGTCGACGCGCTAACCACTGGACCACCGGGCCGCCACACACACACACACACACACACACACACATGTTCCCCAGTTAAATTGCTCACTTGTGTATTCAAATAAATATAGGTTGAACATGATATGCAAATCGTGTTGAACGCAACTTACCAACTTCACTGGAATTGGCTTCGTATTAATAACCATGGACCTCAGTTTTATAGCAAAGCAACATTTAGCCACTTCACATTTGGCTTCCATATTGATAATCACGTTACCCTGTGCTAAATTCTAATTAGATTGTATAATCACATTAGATGCTGCAATGTTACTGGCTTGCTCTGAGCACGCGTTTGTTATTGATTTTATAATTGAATGTGTTAAACAATGTTTACCAGTCAGTCGCTGTCAGTCTATGTAATTGAAGTAATTATATAGCTGCATGTCTTGCATTCACACGATGATCATGTCAGCGCAATGCCAATGATCAGATCTATTTATGAAAAAATAAAACAGACATAACATGCACCATGTTTACACACACACACACACACACACACAAACATTTGGCACTTTCGCGTCACCAAACACGGACATAACATGCACCATGTTTACACACACACACACAAACACTTTGGCACTTTCGCGTCACCAAACACTAACAGATATACCTATACAGTATTTTCAAATATTTTTGTTATAATATTTATGGGCCGGAGGGTGTCACCCTTGGGCTCTCCATTGTTGAGATGCCAATGCATATAATACTAGTAGGATGATGTGTAGGATGTATTTCAACCAGGGCTAATGTGTAAACGGCATGCTGAACGGAGCACCGACCTCTTATATTATCGATCATAAAATGACTTTTAGGTTTTCCTTTGGACATTTCTGTTGCCCAGAATGTAGTGGATTCATGTTCAGTATTGGTTTTGAATAGTCATGGGTATAATATTGTCGTTTACAGTATGTAGGTATACTTTATACTGATACATTATTATAGCATCTCTAAGGCGATTGCAATTCCCACCAGGCAAATTGTAGTAAATGTAATACAAAGACAGTATCCACTTATGCTTTCTATTACTTGGATTCTTACAAGGGTTCAGGTAGCCACAATGTATACTATCAATTATGTAGTGTAGGATTTTTGAAGGTTGCCAAATGATCTTGATTCTCTCTTTATAGCATCCCTCGCTGCACTGCTTCTGCTCAAAGGCCAGAGAGACACATCTATGGATTTCATGCTAATGTCGTCCAAGCACACAATCCTTGAAGTTTTTTTTTACACGAATGTATCACACCACTTCAAAGAGGATATAGAAGAGGAAATTGTATGTTGGATGGCCCGGTGGTCCAGTGGTTAGCGCGTCGACCTCACAGTGCAGAGGTACCGGCCGGGTTCAATTCCACCTCCCTGTGTGGAGTTTGCATGTTCTCCCCGGGCCTGTGTGGGTTTTCTCCGGGTACTCCGGTTTCCTCCCACATTTCAAAAACATACAAAGCATCTAGCGAGGATTTGAAAATCACCCAATGTTGCTCTTTAATGAAGAACAAACCAGAGTACAGGATGAATTGGGGAAAAAAATATATAATATTCGGTAAGCCTACCTTTCAAAGATGGTGGATGATTAAGAAGCTTGCCGTCCTAT